CCGTATATTGTGCAGTACTATAAGTACACTGTTGTTTGCTAGTTGACAGTTGACAACTTGCTTTGTATGAATGATATACAGGCTTTGCCACCCAATTTTGTCTCCATCAGATCCTGAGCACAGGAGCAACAAGCCTTGCACATTGCCCTGCCAAAGCTAACCTGTACAGCAATATGAAAAGACTCTTTGCTTTGTGGAGCATGCCAGTGCATATGTAAACATCAGCAGGCAGAACAGTTCCAGATCCCCTAAGGATGAAACAGGTAACAGATCAGATATCTTGCACATGAGCAACTTTGGCAGCATTAAGTTGGACAGGCGCCAGATTCCACTTTCCCACAGCACTTTTTTTGGTGTTTGACCAGACCCGGACAGTACATGTAAGAAGATCTTCTGTCATAGTCTCATGAAGTCTTCCCTGGGGTAGGTCTTGCCTGTTAACCTCTTCATCCTCACCCAACAGTGCCTGAGATGCAAGACATGTTGGGGGTGTCAATGTGAGTATTGCAGTGGACAGACAATCATTGCTCTCCACAATAGGTTTGGGAATGGAGTCATCTAATAACTGAGGAAGACGAGAAGGGATTTTCATTGAAACTGAGCAGTGATGATCGGGATGTGCATAAGGAGACACAATTGAAGATCTTGGGACAGGATGACCCCTCCAAAGAATTGAATGTTTGGTGGACTTTTGGTTGAGGTCTGGAGTGGATACATGTAATATCCAGAAGGGGCAAACATCATGGTGTTGGTGCTTATCAGTTGGTGAGACTCTTGGTAGTATCTGCAGCAGCATCCATGGGGGAGCAAAGATATTTGTGGACCTGACTGTGTGAAGCAAACTAGTGTCCAGTCCATGTTGTTTCATCACCCTCTCTGACCATTCCCACATTGATGTTGGTATCAGAGCTACTTGGTGCTCTATGCCAATATCATGCTCAATCACTGCACTGATGGAGTGCATCAAAACCATATGAATCCATGGCAGCATCTGGCAAGGGATATTGCTTTCCGAAGTGAAGCGATGTCTGGATGCAAATGGGCCCTATGCAGGAAGATGAATGCAGACACAGTTACAGTGCTTGTTCCCACTTACCAACAAATCCCAATGAAGGCACAACCAGGTGCATAAGCACTCTTTCTCAGGTTTGATGGGAAGTATTGGCATGCAAGTGCATAAATGGAGCCATGCAGCAGATGTGGCTGAGAGAGGGAAATGATGGAGTTGAGCTTGAAGGCTGTGAAGTCCATCAAAAAAGCAAGACAGCTGGGCTGTCACAGGAATGGGCCAACAACTGTGCCATTTGGATGAATATGCCAGGAATTTCATTAGCAATTGTTGATGATTGATGGAAGGTTTAGTATCTGATATGACATGCATGACAAGAAAGTTGCACTATGTCACAAATCAACAGATAATTGATAAAAGTTGAACATAAATGCAGCACATACCCAAGTGTAAGTAACTGCAGCAAGATACCATTGTGCACTATGCAAGTGATGATGATGCACAGCAGGCAAGTGCTCCATATAATTCTCAAGCTGAGACCAATGTGTGAGGGATTCACACATATCTGTGATGCCTGCCAGTAGCAATGTGTCCAAATAGATAGATTGCTGAGCATGGTAGAGGTTGGATTTGTCCATGAGCTCCACCCATGAATGAGGAATATGTCCATAGAAAGCCTGGGAAACACATATTGGCAACATGGTAATCTTCACCAGAGGTTCAGTGCAAGACACAAAAGTCTGCTGCTGAGCTCCGAGATAGGTTGTACTTTCAGCACAAGTCCGTGTCAATATATGCAATATCCACTGCAAGGGGGACCAAATCTGATGAGCTGGGCTGACTACATGCATGCCTGCTCTGGAATCCCACATGATACTCCAGCCACTCCACCAAACTGGATCACAGATGGGAGAGAAGAGTAGACCCAAGACCGTCCAGACAATGGTATGCAGCATTCTGATCCAAAATCAGTCAAGCTCTTGATGGGGGAGTGGATAACCAACCACAATGCTTCCCCAGTCTTGCAAATAGGCTAGAGCCATGGCCATACACATTTCAATTTGTGGGGGCAGGCTGATTAATGATGTTTTACATCATATACAATGTACCAGAGCAACGCTGATGGGTTTCTCAAAGTCAATTATTTGTTTTGCAACAATTGACATAACAATGCAGTGAAAAAGGGAAGAAAGTAGTGGATGTACAATGTGTCACAAGACTAATAATAAGATATAACAAGGACCCTAATTTAGAGGGCACTGTGCACGAGCAAGGCAGTGAATGAACATGTGTGTGCAGCTGAATTCCATATGCTATATAGGTACAAAGGGCAACATGAGTTGACTGCTCTGAATGTTTGCAACTGTGAAGTCCCAGTTTTGGGGGACAAAAATTAGGCTATCAGCTCATGTACACACACAGGTCAATGCAGTATATAGCTGGCCATGAGAGAAGACATCAGTGTGACAGTCTAGTACTGTCTTATCAAGGGTGAGCCCTTGACAGCTATGAAAAGTGGTTGCATAAGCAAGACAAAGTGGCAGTTGTGTGCAAATCACTGTCCAGCTTGAATGTTGTGGTTGAAATGCAAAACAGATGCAGGGAATAAAGAAGAGCACTCTGCTCAGCTCACCATTAGGTGCTAGCAGTTGTACCTGAACAAAGCATTGATTGAGTTTTTCAAGAACTACTCTGGCATTCTTGACCAAGCCCTTTGCCATTGACAGGTTCCTCATGAGCAGGCAAATTGCCCCCACTTTGAATGTGAGGGCATGTGGAGGAATCCCTGGCATGGTGAGCATGTTTAAGTATTCAGGCATTCATTCTGCATTATCCAGATCCAGGGCTTCTCCATCTTTGATCGAGTCAAGGCTAGTGTAAACTACTGCAAAGGTTGTGAGTGTTCTTTTTTTTTTGCTTTGAGTCAGAAGACACACCTTCATCTGATTGCAGCAACTCCAATGTCTGTGCATTGAATGTATCCACCATTGCATTATGGGGGCTGAGAAATGCTTGAGTTAAACACTGGACAGGGTCTTGCAGAATGTGTGGTGGATACAAAAAGTCAAGGACCATGTCAAGGTTAGATACTGGTTGAAGTAGAGGGAGCCTGACTCATTCTCCAGAGGTGTCTTCTCCAATATAATCCACAAAGGCTGAAAATTCTGGGTCATCTCTATTGTGCACTAGTGCATGGAGGTGGCAAATCTTAAACATAGGCCAGAGTGGGCTGGAGAGAATAGAGGCTTGTAGGGCTGCTGTTTCACCTGTCCCCTTGACCACTGGTGCTAGCTGATGGAAGTCTCCAAGGCCAAGAAATGGAAGACCACCAAAAGGGACATCACAGCTTGTAATATGATGACAAACCATGTCAATAGCTTCCACTGTTGTTTTGTTGGCACCTGGCATCTCATCAAAAACAATTAAGCTGGCAGCATGAATAAGATCTGCCTGTCCAGAGGGTATTTGGATTTCAGAGAGAATACCAATGTGGTCCTAGTAGTAAAGATGAGAACACTGCAATTGTGAATGAAGAGAGACACAAATGTCTTTCACTGGAATGCAGAAGAGAGAATGCACTGTCTGGCCATGCTCATAAATAGTAGCTGCAATACCTGTTGATGCAACCACCAAAACAATGTGTCCATTGCTCCTGAGCCAGGCCAAGAGTGTATCCACCAAAAATGTCTTGCCTCATCCTGGTTTGCCTTCAAGAAAGTAGGGGCCAAATGCATGGTCTCAATGTCATGCTGTGAGTAGAGATGCATGAAGTTCATCATATACCACACATTGTTCTTCTGTCAGCCATGCATAGCCAATGCGAGCAGCCTCAGCCAACTGCAGCTCCTGACCTGCAAATGCAGCAAGTTCTTGGGTGAGCTCCACTGAGTGCCTTGCAGGCTGCAGGAGCCCATAATATGATAGATCCTTTCCCACATCAGCAAGAATATCTCCAATAGAAAGAAGAGCCTGGTTACATGCTGTGACAGGTTGTGGGAGGTGCTGAAGAAAATCAGCTGAGAGATCCACTCAAAATGTATCCCATAAGGGTGGAGCAGGATACCCTTCCAGAACCACACATGCAAAGAGAAAGTGTAGTTGTGCTGGAGTACAAAGATCTGCAACAGCCTCTTGCAAAGCATAGTATCCTTCATTATCATTATCAAAGAGGCCTTGGGCATGTGCTGCCTCCATGTATGAAGGATATCAAACACCATTCACCCAGTATAGCCCTTCATGGCTTTTTGCAGCCTTGTGTTGGAGTAAACACCAAAGGTAGAAGACATCCCCTGAAGATAGTGAGATGCTTTGCAAACAGGCATGGTGTTCTGTGGTTCTTCATTTGATCACTTTCTGTGGCATTCCTGGCTGCACTTCTTCAAGGAATGCACCAGGAGGGAGGTCTCCTTTCCATGCATCCAAGATATATCTCAAAAAGTATTCTGCATATAGCAAAGGGAGTAGGGCTGGATGGCATGGACGTGCAAAGTATTGAAGCAGTGTTGAGGCTGTTGACTGACCACCATGGTGTCAATATAATTGGCCATAGGTTTCTCCTTCTAGATGTACAGAGAGTTGTGTGATGCCAGGGATTTGTTTTGATATAGGAATGCCAAGAATTCTCCAAGAAGCCTCACAGGCTGAAAGGTATGGACCTTTAACACCCCCCCACAATAGGCAAGACATGCCAAAGTATCACATGTTACCCTCCCAAATAACCAATTATGTGTGACACCTTCAGACATCCAATGAGATGCAAAACCATGTTGACTATCAACCATACCAAAGTTAGCACCATGGCAATCACAAGTCAATCACTGAGAACTGACCAAAAAATGTGAAAGTCTATACTTAGGGAGGGGATGGAAAAATAGGTAGCATGTATCATCAAAGAGGACCATAACACCTAGTCACTGTACTAAGCTACTGTCTTTCTATAATCTTTGCAAAGATTGGCATCCATAAGGCCAGAAAACACATACCTACTTCCCCTAAAGTATGTGGTGTGATGTGCCAAGTGCCTGGTGTTGATAAACAGCAACTGGCCTGGACAAAGTGGGATCTGAATCCCTAGCTGAGGGAGGACCAAATAGGCAGTGGTGAAGTTGCCGAGGACAAACAGGATACTGTACTGATTGCCATCATCATTTGAATCAATATGGGGCACAGGGGCATGGCCCTCTCTGAAGGCCAGCATGTGCCAGGCACATTGTCAAAGCTGAGGTCTATCAGCCAAAGTATTAGCCAATGCTGGGTGAGAATAGGTCCAGTCCAGGATCCTGCTAAAGTGTTAGGAGTAACCCATCTAAAGCATGTCAAAGGACAAACCTCTTTCTCTCCTCATATACCTCAGGTTGATGACTATGCAACAACCTCATAGCCCTTTTGCCCACCACCATGTCCATAACCTCCAAAAGGACATCCATCCACCTCTTCACCAAAGGATTCTGGTTAACCAAATCTCTGCTAAAGGCAGGCACTGGGCTGGATCTTCTCCAAACACCCAAGTGGAGTCCAGGTACTGATGAGTGACTGAACTCTTCCTCCTGTCTTAGGTAAGACTTGGGAAGTTTCAAGTAGAAGTCTTTGGTGAGGTTGAGCAAGGTGTCCAGATGCTGAGATGGAACACCATCATGAACTCAAAAGAGAGGACAATCTAGTGTCACTCCCTTGGGTAGAGGCTGGGCTGGATTGACCCTGTACACCCAATCACCAGTCTCAGGAGCACAGGGAATGGGTGTAGGAAGGGGGTTGTGCAAGAAGGCAGCCGTGAGAGAATCCAAGATGGCTGCATTGCTGGAAGGACATCTGATGAACAGGTCTGGGTAGGAGGGAATAAGTTGAACATCTATCTGTCATGTGAGTATACAGGAGATGCAACCCAAAGTATAGCAAGACAAACCATTATCCCCCAAGCCCCTGGTCTGGCACCTCTCAAGCCAACCCATATAGCTGCACAATTTCATTGCATCACTCTTGTGCTTTCTCCTCTTGTTATGGGGCAAAGGTCTGTCTGGAGCATCCATATCAGGCACCAGAAGGGAAACATGGGCTGGGTCAGACATGCAGTCCATCCACAACACCCAGAAAACAACAGCAAAGCAAGGACAAACAAAACCATATAGAACAATGAACAGCCCAAAGAGCAGCAGTGAAAAGTTTTACAGGGGGAAGTGCCACCCTAGCACCCTGCCCCTGGAGCGGACTGCCTTGCTGGCCTCCCTCGTTACATTCTTTCTATAAGAAAGGCCTGGGGTCCCAGTGTTTCATATCTTGACAGGGCAGTAATAATGTGCATAGGAATGATACACTATCTTCCAACAGTAGCTGATACAGAACTATTGCAACTTATTCATAGCTAATTGATGTGCATGGAAACCATTTTCTGAGCTATGGACAGAGCTTAATGGGGCATGAAAGCTGTCAAACACTGGAAAGATCAGGGGTAGCTTAGTGACAAAACAAGGTGTATGTGCAGATCAAACACTTGCCTTGAACTCAATAAAGCTATCATCTGGTCAGTCCACTATGTTGCAAATACCTTCACTATCATGGATGGCTTCCCAATTGTAAGATACTTGAAATTGAAGGCAAAGGACCCCTTGCTTGTTGATGCTAATACTTACTGACTGGGCCATTGAAGCAGCCAGATTCATTGCCAGGATAGCTGATGCACAATATCTATGCACATGATTAATACAACAGCAGACAGCAGAAGTAATGAAAGTAAGTACTTGAACTTCATCATGTCTTCCTCCAGGGTATCAATCTCCAAAAATGTGACAACAGAGGGGTTGGTGTCACTTGATGAGTAGTGGACCTAGAACAGGGCAGGGTGAAGAGGCACAGCAAACAAGAGACATACTGAGCTCTTGGAGAATCCCATAGAGCATTCCCATTTGAAAGATATGCATGCCAAAGAACGACCGTCTTCCATTGGGGGGGCAGTGCTGAAGCTAATGTAGATGTAATCGGGATCACTGGAGCCACTGATTTTATGCAGGAGATCCACAAAGTGTTTACCCGGCATCACTGTACACATGATTCTGACAAAAGAGTGCTGAGTGCATGAGAAAAAGGATTTCGAGAGGCCACAGAGTGCCATGGACTCTGGGTACTCATCATACAGCACATGGGCATTGCTGTGCCACTCATATGTTGACAGGGCAGCTTGGGTGGAGCAACAGTCCTCACTGTCCACTTCATGACTATGTCACTAATAAATATGGGGTTAAGGGAGTGTGTGATCTGCTTACAGAGTTATCAGGAAACAATGACCGATGCCAGACCACTCAATTAAGGCAGCAGTCTGAGTACCCCAAGACTGAACATGAAGGCCTCCACTGCCAAAGACATCAAGAGCAGTCAAGAGGATGCTGAGCTGCACTGCAAAGATAGGTTTGCAGTCATCCTCAATCAATCCTTCCAACACTGTGGTTAAACAAATCATTGTAAACCCATGCATTGCTTGCATGAGTTGAGCAGGGAGCATGGGAATGAAATGGTGGAGGCACTGACAGAGTCTCCACCCCTCCACTGCAACTGTAAATTGCAGACCAGCACTATGACATGAAATACCAACCATCTGCCCAAAGAAAGGCTGAGTCTACTTAAGAGAAAGGATGGAAGGTGAGAACATACGGCATTCTTCCCAGCATGAGTGCAAAGTGCCTTCAACATAAGAGTGAGTGGAAGAACAGCACCAATTTCAATTTGGATGTGCTGAAACAATCCATATCAGCTACTGTTCTTTCTGGTACAAAGCAAGTAGCATACTGCTGCCATAAATTGAGGATGAAGAATGTGGAAATAGTTGATTGTATGCACTTGGTTTTGTGATTGTTCAAGATCAAGAGTTGCGATGCATCTGTGTCACATGCATACATCTTTAGACATGTGTACATCTTTAATGCATACCGCAAAACATGAACCACATTGTCAACCACAGGGATATCCTACACTGTATTGTCTGAGCTTGACATGGACGATTGGATCTCATGGGGTCTGACAAACTCTTCCTTTCTGCATCTGATAGCCTTGAGATGGAAAACTCTGGGAACAGCGCAGTACCTGCTGCCGATGGACTTAATTGCCACAGAGGAATCTTTGACTCTGGTGAGTGCACAAACAAAGGTGGGTGCATGTATGCATCACTGACAGATAAAAATGCCTATAGTTTGGTAATCAATCCACATTATACCATGAGAACATCAGAAATATTGTGCTGAATGTGCCCACATTGAAGGACTTTGAGAATGTCAATATGACAAGTTGGCTTATGAAGGTTGCCACTAGAGGACCCAAGGACACCAAGTTCTTCTTCCCAAATCTGCATGCATTATATCTTATCACCAATCAATCTGGGATGCCAGGTCTCATACTGTGCTTTACCCATGACTTGCTTTTCTCTCTATATCTCGATCTTGATTGCTGCAAAAGAAATACTGCATCATTGATGCACAACATGGAGGAGGGAATGATGAAGTTTCTGCAACATGTAGACACACTGCTCAAAGAGTTGTCGATCACTCATTGTGTGAAAGAATGGCACTGATCCACAATGAATGCGCTTCTGGAAGGTATTGATGGGTTAACCTGCTTGTCATGTCTGACAGTGGACTTGTGGGAGTTGTCAACAAATTTGTGGTGACTGCTCCATGGAAGAATCTTGATACACACACTTCATTTCATGGGCTGCTTGAGTGAAGAGGCAGTCACACGGAGGTGTAAAGTGCTCTCCAAAGAAGAAGTGTGCAGTAACTTGTGGATATTGCGCCTGACTACATTGATGTCTAATGCTACCATAGTTCTCAACAACATTCCTCTCAAAGTAGAAGAGTTTCACTTATGGGCAACTGTGACGCATCCAGAAGAACAAATGACAAGCCTGCTCTCTGCAAGTGTATTTTGTTGTGACAAGTTGAGATTGATTTACTTGATATTGATACCTGCTAAAGGGACAGAACCTGCAGCTACATTCAACTTCAGTAAACTGGCTATGATGGGCATGTACAAAGAATTGTGTTGTTTCAAACTGGATTATCAGTTTGAAGGTATAGTTATCAATGGTCCATGCGCACCTGAACAGTACTTTCTTCTGTGGTGCAGTGGTGTAACGGTTGACAATTCAGTGTGTACAGCAAGATATCTGCCTGCCATTTGGCCCAGACAAGATATTCAGTTCAATGAGGGTGTGATCCTGGAATCATGGAGAGAAGTTCGGTCACTCTGGTGCAAGGGTCTGTACTGAGCAGAGAGAAAAGGGTTACATGATGCATACAATGACACCAGTGTGAAGAATGGTTAGGTGACAATTGAATGAATCATTTCTGACATGCATATGTAGGGGGGAGAGATATTAATAACCCTAGTCTCAATATTGGGAGTAGTGTGAGAGGTATTTAACAAAGGAATGCAGAGAGGTGGTGATGGGCTGGGAAGGAGTGTACCATTCATATGACCAAAATCACATCCAAATTCAATTCACTGTATGGATCTATCAAATTGAACTAGTTCAATGGCCAGCATAAACAGAAAGAATACAGAGTTATGACACATGAAGGATGAACCATTCCAGGAGGTAGTATGACAGCAACAATGAACACATCCTAATATGGTCAGAGTGCTGTAAGCTCTATCACCAATGCTCTGACTGAAGGATGGTATCTTGCCCAAGGGCCCATATGGTCCTGTGACTGAGAATATACATGTGTCTAGCAGGTGGCTTTCTGGATGGGGGGCTGAGAAAATGAGCAGGAGAGGGAATGAACACTCATGGTGGCTCTGCAAGCTTGTGACTTTGCCTCTCGGTTCTTGGTGGCCTGAGAAGCATGAGCCTCATGAGCTGATGGAATATTCTCCACTCAGTATTGTCTAAGAGCAGAATCCCACATCAACCAGTCCCACAACTTCTCCAGGGCAGCGGATGATACAGTACATCAGGATTGTGCATCCGGGGCATCTTGGGATGAATTGTTCTGTTATATGCCATGTTTGCCAACATGAACAATCTAGAAAGTAGGGAGGGAACATACTTGCATAGCATTCAATGACGTGGCCACAAGGACATCTCAGTAATATGTGTTCTGTGGGTGCATTCTCATCTGATTGAAATCGGGTAGAACAGGTTGCCAGCCTTGAACAACAGGAGGGTCTGGGTCATAGTGCGGCCAGAGCTGGTATTCCCATGACAATCCACTTTTGTGTCTTCATAACTTTCTATGCAGATATGATAAGTCGATTGAAAAGGATGGGAGGGGAAATGCAGATCACACATACCAGGCAATACCACCATAGTCACCCAGCAATTGTGTGACCCACTTTGAGGCAGTATGGGTAGAGGTCCAGTTGGTCTTCTTTGACTTGTTTGGCTTTCTGGTCTTCAGTGTATGCTAATGGTTGGCCAGAGGGGGGGGTTAGGACTTTGTAGATAAGTTACAGTAGATAGAGGACTTGATGACTGCATACCTCTCCTTATCATTATTGCTTCCCATACAGAGAGCACCAGTTTGTGGTTTACTGGCAGTGAGTGAGGGAGCAGGCTTGGATGTGGATGAAGATGCAGCCAAGCAAGATGGGGAAAACACAGATGTTTGACTGCGAGTCTTGAATATAACATGTTAGTTCCAGAACATCAATTATGCAATAAAGAATGGACAAACTGGAAGGCAGTAAACAGGCCCTGGGGAATCTACAGGTGTACCAGTGATTCTGTTGATGTCCTCTTGTGCTTTGGATTGTGATGGTGTCTACAGAAGTTAGTCTAGTGCCTGTCCTCGCAGAACAGCAGCATGCCTGTTTGTGTGGTGTGCAAGGGTTATGTGTTACAATAATATCCCATGCCTGGTCTGCTATGTCAGTGTTGTTGTGATGTTTGCTTGCTTGAGAATCCCACCATTTGTCATGTGGAGTTGCACAGAAAGGTGATGCATGATCAGGTGAAGAATGCTGGGAAGAGACAATGTTTTTGCCATCTGCATTGTGCTCCATTTCAGAAGCATGTTCAGCAGGGGCAGAGACTCTGATTGAAACATCAAACAATATTGTCCGGATGCCTGGTGTCATCCCCTTACATGCGCAGACCATGACATATGCCATGCACTATGACAATAATTAGAGATGGGACATAGAGGTAGGAAAAAGGAGACAAACTGACTAATGGTATGGGGCTGGGTGGACAATGGAGCAGTATGCTATAGTTATCATCATCAGGCACTGTGGTGCCTAGATAAGCATTAACCACAGCAGTCGAATCCTAGAAACATCCACACTTCTGGGGTGATCATGAGGTTCCTGGTCTGCATGCTCAGGCTGCTGTGGCATGGGCAATGGATTGGTTAGCCTAGGCTTTGGGAGACTGTTTAACTCATAGAGTTCACTGGGTGTATAGTGACTGAATGATGTGAAGGGATTATAGCCAAGCATGGGCGGGGGACTGACCTGTATGTCAGGGCAGCCAACAAGGGAGTGTGAATGCATATATGCTGACCTTTTTGCCTCAATAGGTGTTGTGTGAGCTCCAAAAAGATCACAAATAGCAGTCTGCATATAGCAGAGTATCTATTTGGATGGGCTGTATGAGTCATGGATAGACATGAGCAAGAAACTGAAAGGTGACATTGACTGCTGAGGTGCAACCTGTGTAGCAAGTTTCCAATAGCTGGAGATGGGCAGATGCTTTTTGGGGATTGAACTATGATGACTAATTAATTTGGGTCAGGAAGATAAAGTGCACAACAAGACGAGACCCATGCCAAGACAATCAGGGTCTAGAGGAGTCTGGCGCGAACCTAGGGAGCGCTGTCCTCTTAGCGTTTCCGTACAGAGACAGTGAAGAGAGAAGGGAAGAAGACCCACCGGAGCTCGGGCCGAACTCGGTACCGCCGATCGTACATCGGCCCTCTTTGCGCCTTGTCCGCTTTCCAAGCTGGGCACACGGACTATATACATGCGAATGAGCCTGAAGAACGGGAAATTCATGTGTATTCCTCCTTTCCACTCCAATGGGTCTTCTCGGTCCCACTTTTCACATCATCTCACTATGATGGACCCATTCTGACAACAAAGAACGTTCTTCCCTGGCATTGGGATTGGTCTTGTTCATATCAACGTACACTATGTACATAGATGTACGCTATGATACACCAGTCACAGATCTTCACCCTCGTCAATAATCATCATCATCATCCTCAAATACCACATCATAGAAATCTCTCTTCGGTTTGCTGTACGGAACGCCAAACATGCCTCCCTGGTGCGAGGTGCTCTGAGTGTCCTCGGGAGGAGGGCCTTGTTCTTCCAGTTTATAGTATTCCTCTTCGGCTTTCTTGACTTTTACGTCTTCGTCGATGAATCCTTTGATGAAGAGTACCGGAGGACCGGACAGCAGGCGGGAGGCGATATCCCAGATGTCCCTGTGATACCGTCACGAATACGAAACGAAGGAAAAGAAGTGAAGCATACACGAGTTCGTAAGCAGCACATATCCCCTGGTCCTCCTCCCTCAGTCCCATGGCTACAGCAACCGTGTGCAACGGATGGAGATCCGACCACGTTCTCGCTGATGTACCATACAACACTTGCGTGTCCAGGACGAATGTCCGCCTGGGCGCGCCGGCAAACCCACCAGTCGGGGTTTGACCGACGAAAGGTTTTTTCTCGTCTTCGTTCTTGATCGGGTTCTTGAGTGGTAGCTCATGCTTCAGCGGGACGAACCTATTTGACTCTTCAGCAAAGTTCAGAAAGGGCGTAGAGGATGCATACAGTTCCTGCCCAAGCGGTGCAAACTTCTCCTCTTCGCCTTGTACCGGTGGGACAGAAGTCGCTGAGGTGTACCGCGAAGAGACAGAAGACGAGGGACGAGAAGACGGCGAACGGGAACGTGGACGAAACAGCTGTGAGCGGGAGCGATCTCGCTCGTTCTCGTATGGCTCTTGCTTCGTTGATACGCCCCGCGAGTATTCCCGGTTGGAGCGCTCGTCGTACCTGTCTGAGTAGATCGAAGATCCCCTGCTCTGCGTGCCGGGGACCAAAGTGGTGTCCCGTGACATCCGAGAGTCCGGCATAGGCGACGCGCTCCCGTAGCGGGACGATGGCGTCGTGCTAGGTTCGCGGGAGTCGTACCTGCTAGACGCGCGCGAGGCATCGGACGCGGTGCTGGAGCGACCCGGATCAGGCTTCATAGCTGTATTCCCTTTCTGCTGTATAGGTACGCGTTCCGGATAGCCGACTAGAGCGCCTATACCTTCCCAGTCATTGGAAGAGTTGAGGATCCCGTAATAGAGCCTCCAGTTGTTCTTCGTCGTCGCTGCTTGAGGGTACAGGTCTTGCAGGCCGAGATGGCAGAAAGCGCGCGAGAGGTTGTACACGTCGTGCGTGAGGAAGACTATGTCTGCGTTCGGATCGAGCGAGAGCAACAGCCGTCTTAAGTGATTGGCCAGTTGAGGGGCGGACACCCTGATCGTCTCCTTTTTCTTTTCGCCATAAGCGAGTTCTACTTCTTCTTTTCCGTACACCTAAAGACCCCATCAGCTAGGAAATACGTATCAATCCTGGGGTTGCCTCACAGGGCGCGGTGGCCGTCCAGGGTTGTTCAGCGCCCCATTCACGGAGAAGTGGATGATATCGTCGATCGACCTGCTGGGAAAGTCGACCACGCCCCACGCGGCGTCGAGGAGCAGGTCCTCCATATCTTCCGCAAGGACTCGGGGCTGGAAGAAGTTGAATTGGAGGACGACAATCTTCGGCTCGGTATGGGAGAACATAGCGGGGATGCCTAGTTCATGTGGTCTGAAGCCTCTGAAGTAGCTGGTGTAGAACACTCTAGGCCGAGTGAGACGCTTTCATCCAACGTGGGAGGAGCTAGTACCTCGCATGCTCAAATGCGGCCAGCTTGCGCGCGTTAGCGTTAGGCTCTGTATCCCACGAACCTCGGGCATTAGCCTGCCCGTGATGGTTCGCACGCCGTTCTTTCCCTTCTTTGAGCGCGACAGCTAGCTCGGCTTTTTCTCGGAAGTACATAGGGGAGAGGGAGAGGAACTCGTTCGCGTAGTGTTTTGAGGGAAGGAAGCCGATACTGCGCAGCTCGTTTGCCCGGAAGGAGGGTACGAGGGTCGCATAGTCTCCCTTGGGAAGGATACCTGCATATATGCGCGGGATCAGTGTTGGAGTGAGGGAGGGAGGGATGCGATAAGCCTTACCCAGGACGAGTTGAAGTCCCAGTGTAGGGGAGAAGAGCCGATCATGTCCAGGCTCGATACCAAATAGGATCTCTATAATCCGATCATCGTTCTCCATCCCAGACCAGGGTATCTGGAACGACGTCCTGGTCGATTTGTCGGTCCTGTCGGTCCACTCGGTCCGCCATTTGGGTTTGCTTGCAGAGAGGGCAGGTCAGTCAGCTTGCCTGGGTCGAGAGTACAATACACTGGCAGGGAAGACGTACCCACTTCCTGTCCATGGGTCGTACGCGCCTATTGAGTAGAAAGAAGGGATATCGCTCATGTTCATGGTACTGTGCACAAAGTGAGAGGTGGAAGAGAGGTATCAACAAAAGGGGTGCGGTCGTCGACGCATATACAGAACGCGACAACGCGCCGCCTTATTACCGCCGCCCAAAGAGCGCAACTGTTCTGGAGTGATGCCGAATTGCTGGAAGTTTCTTCGGGGGGTTGCGCTCAACGAGGGAACATCGTGGACGGGGATCACGGAACGAAGTAAAGAGCTTATATACCCAAATTCAAATTATGCTGTACTAACATCCTTTGTGCCAACTCATGTGACTACATCCAAAGTATCCCAATTAATGCGGCATATACATCACCTTTGGCATGCACGATTCCCTTATTGATCGTGTCTATGCGTGCTTCTATGAGACATCCACTACTTGTTTATCCCAGAATGAACTCTCAGGAATGTTGATCTTCCACTGATGATAAGACAGCATCACGTGATACCTTTGAAGCATTCCAGTGGTCCGATCACTCTCTTCAAACTGTGTCGCACAGTAACATACATACAAGTACGCTACCGTACCTGCAGGAGCGCAGCCTGTCGCTCACTGCCCCAAAGCGCCGCCCAATCTCCCGTATACAACCCAAATCTTAGACCACCGCCCCTTTCTTCTCCGACACGACCGCAACCCCAGTCTCAGCCTCAGCAGCAGCCTTCATCCCCCCGTCCGCCCCCGTCCATGCCTGGAACGCGTCCGCCACCCAGCCCGGCATCCACTCGAGCGCCGGTACACACCTGGCATAGAACGGCATCCACCTCTCCCCATTCTCCCTTTCGTCTAGGGAACGGATGATCTCTTTGACGATGGTGTGGGGTGCGAGGGGTGGAGCGAGGAAGTCACGTAGTTTGTTCGGGGGGAGCTGGAGGGAGGAGAATAGCGGTGTGTGGACTTGTCCGGGGACGAGAAGGGTCGTTCGTACTCCAGGAGCGGAGTAGACGGTCAGCAGTTCGCGTCGGAGCGTACGGTGTAAAGCGACCAGCGCGGCTTTCGTACTGCAGTATGCGCCGAGGTGGGCAACACCCTGCTGTCCGAGCACGGAGGATATCGTAATTACATGCCCTGCGTTTTCTGCCACCAGGTGAGGGAGGAACGCTCGTAGGATGTAAATGTGCGAGAGGGTGTTGACTGCGAAGGTTCGGGAGAGGGCAGTGGGGGTTACAGAGAGCAGCGTCGAAGGAGTAACGATAGCCGCGTTGTTGATCAGCACTGTTGGGTTGCCGACTTCCTTTTTTATCCGGGCGGCGACAGCGTCCACCGCTTCGGGATCAGATACATCGCATTTATAATAATAGATGTTATCTTCCCAGTCCAGTCAGTATGGCTCAAAAAAGGAAGAGGAGGGGGACGTACAGTTCTCGCTCTCCAGCTTGTCCTTGAGATCGAGGACGACAACGATGACGTTGCGCACTGCGAGGGTGTTTGCGAGTAGCAGACCAATGCCAGACGCCCCACCTGTTATGAGCACGATTTGCTCGCCCCAGTCAAGCCGCGCGGGTTTGAAGAGCCATGTCCCTCCCGACCTATGTACGCGGCCTGTGAAGGCTAGGAAGTCTATTCCGAGATGAGGGGAGACAGAGGAAGTAGAAAGTAAGAAGCAGGCATACGGTAGAGGCAGACAGCGCCAAGCCAGTAGACTGGCCACCTGAGAGTCGAGTCCTCCCAGCTCGACCCGCGAGCAAAGTTGAGGATGGGGATAAAGGCGAGGAAGAAAGGTGAGAAGAGGGTGTGGGAGAGAACGGTGATGACGAGGTCGAGGTTGAAGTCGTCGAATATCGGAGTCATCCCTTCTGGCGACATGGTGCTATGTAGAGGGGGGAAGTGAGAGCCACCGGGGCGTTGGAGTGTTGTTGAGAGAGGTGGGAGGGTATAAGTACTTTGTTCTGGATGGTTACTATAGCGTTGTTATGCTGATTATCACGTGCAGTTCACACAGCCACTAAAGCGATGATTGACTGCGTTGTATGTGCGTGTGTGGCATGCACTTCCACCTCCTCTCTCTTTCGACCTCTCCTTTCCATTCACGATGAATCGTATATTCGGCTCTACAGCAAAGAAGCCAAGGCCAAATCTGCAGGATGCGATTGCTTCTACCGACGCGCGGATTGGCACTATCGAAGTCAAGATCCATAAGCTGGATACGGAGCTGGCGCGGTATAAAGACCAGATGTCGCGAATGCGTGACGGGCCTGGAAAGGTGCGTCCTCTGCTTTTCCACAGCTTCATGGTCGTTGAGTTGGCTCACGTGGGGACGCAGCGCTCGGTACAGCAGCGCGCTCTGGCGGTCTTGAAGCAGAAAAAGATGTATGAAGGCCAACTGGATCAGCTGACACAGCAGACGTTCAACATGGAAAGCGCGGCTATCGCTACTGATAACCTGAGGAATACGATGGCTACTGTAGACGCTATGCGGAATGCGAATAAGGAGCTGAGGAAGCAGTATGGAAGGTTGGATGTTGATAAGATTGATGTGGGTAGTTCGTCCTTCGTTCTCTTTATCTTGGTTCTCCCCTTTCTGGGTGGTCCCCCGCTCCGTTTCTCTCGGCTTAATGTGTTGTTGCTCGGTATGGGATTCAGATCTGATACACTTACCAGGCAATGCACGACGAGCTGTCCGATCTCCTAGAACAAGCAAACGAGATCCAAGAAACGATGGGTCGGTCATATGGTGTCCCCGAAGAGCTTGACGAAGCGGACCTGGAGGCGGAACTGGATGCGTTAAGTCAGGAGGTGGAAGAGGAAGCAACACCGAGTTATTTGCAGGACACGCTCGTTCAGCCGGACTTTGTGGATGAGGCACCTGTGGAGGCTCAGCCGAATCAGGCAGAGGCTGTTAAGGCGACATAATGTTTTCTTTCATGGAAGGATGTGGGGTGGATGTGGGATTGATATGCACGGGGATAATGCACGAGAGCGGATTTTCGATGACACATGATGTACGATGTGTAGTACTATTAGATGAAACGGATATTTTGTTGTATGCTCCATCCACCATGAGCGCTTAGGTGGAGACGTCCCTACGAAGGCGCGCGACCACGACGTTCTCCAACGCGTACCACACGGACGACGACGACGACGAGGACAATATTTCCTCTCAGTGTTGTACTATATTACGACGCGTTATCTGATCTATTGTGTCGCAGGCGTGGTCTGTTAGGTGCCATTGTGCCAGTGTACGTCGCATGACCTCGACAACGCGTCCTTGATCATTTGGCAAGATGATGAACCTCGAGCTACTCAGTACGCCTCCTCATCTCACTCCCATTCCTCTCTTCTAACCCAACGCATCCTAGGTCCCCTAGCGCAAGAATACCCGGACAAGATCACCCATTTCCTCGACTCCTCCGCCTCCGTAGCTCAGTTCTCGCCGAATGGACAGCTCTTGGCGGCGGGGAGGGATGACGGGACAGTTGAGGTGTGGGACTTGCATACCTATAGGGTTATGAGGAGGTTGGAGGGGCATGTGAAGGGTGTCGTCTCTGTCTCGTGCGTCTTACAGCTGCTGGACGCTGCGCCTTCCACGACATCTGGCGCAGGATGAGGATGATGCTGACTGACCACCCGCAGCTGGAGTAGGAATTCCCGCTATCTACTTACGTCGTCAAGAGACTTCACATGCGCAGTATGGGACCTCGCCGTCCCCTCACGCACCGGGTGCAAGCGCGACACAGTATGGTTTGAGTCCCCCCTCACTGGAGCCGTCTTCCACCCCCGTACATCGTGCGCCTACCGTTCTTCACACCTGCCTAGCTCATACATATTTGCGTTTTGGTAGACACGTCATCCTCGCCACGGTGACGACAAACGAATGCGTTCTTGTTGATCTGCGTAAGTCTAGACTGGCAGGCAGGTGGTACCTCTACGACGCGGAAGAAGAGTACTCCAGGTCTACTGGGGTAACAACCGCTCGCTTTACCCCCGATGGGCAGTATGTATGGGCAGGCACAGCAGCCGGTGGACTGATGATATTCGATGTTGCGAGCAAACAGGTGAGTGAGGCGTAGCACGAGTGCGCGGGGGCTGATTGAGGTCGGGTTGTGGTAGTTGATCTTGAGCTGCTCGTTGGAGACGAAGGCGGCGATGCGTCTGCTCGAGGTGGACCCGACAGGAAGGTCCGTCCATCGCTATGCCAAACCCGGCAGACAGGATTACTCTTGTGCTGATGCGCGACAGGTACTTTGGCGCTATCTTCACAGACCGCACTGTACGCGTGTGCAGCGTCACCCTTCCCGACTTCTCACATCCTCCCGCCTCTACTCCTCCTGCGCCTGATTCCCCTGCACCTATTCAACCGAACGGTCACACACCCTCCATAACCCTCACCTCTGCTGCCTCTCCCATCCCTGCAATCTCGCCTCTTCCTGCAGAAGGAGAAGAAGACGAGCCGGGCGTAGCGATCGAGCATACTTATTCGGACCAGATTGGGCGTTCGGCATGGACGGGCTTGAGCTGGAGTCCGGATGGAGAGTGCTTACTGGCGGGGAGCGCTGACAAGGGGAGTCATAAGCTGTTTATCTGGTACAGGAGTGGAAGGGGAGGACTGGCGAAGGTGTTGGAGGATAGGGGAGTGGGCGTCGAGGATGTTGCGGTGCGTTACTCGCTGTTTCTGCCTGTCACAAACGCTGATGTGCCCGAGAACAGTGGCATCCCTACCTCCCGCTCATAGCTAGTGTGTCCAATAACGGGCGGATCAACCTCTGGAGTGCGTTGCGAAAGGAGAACTGGAGCGCGTTTGCCCCTGCCTTTGAGGAGCTTGAAGAGAATATCGATTATGAGGAGAGGGAGGACGAGTTTGATATCGTACGTTCCTCCGCTTTCCTCCCCTTATTTCTATTCTCCCTCTCCCTCTACCCGTAACAACCTGTTTCCTCTCCCATGTCGTTCATGAATAGAGCTAACGGCCTCTTGTGTTCAGGAAGACGAAGATGAGATTCGCAGGCGTAAGCGGGCGATTGAGGAGATGGACGTGGACATCGGCGGAACCCCGCCCCCGCCGAGACGGGCCAAAATCAGGGTGGATAGGCAGCATCTTGCACCGATGCCATTCCACGAGGGTGTTGGGGTCAACGGTGTGGACACTGTGGATGCAGAGGATGAGGGAATAGATGTGGATGGTGGGATTGAGGAGAGCGAGAGTGAGGACGATCCGGACTTCTTCCCTCCTGTGGAGCTGGAGGATTGAACTTGCGCCATGTGGCTGTATATGGTGAAACTGTACCATTCCATGTAATCGTGTTTCCTTGGATTCTGATGCCTAACATCAATGGGTCATGGTGATCAGCATCAACATTAATGGTGTTACAGCGGTACAACAACAGATTAATTAGTGGTGCGTGAAAAAAAACGAGTGTCGTCGTAAGTGTCCCAAGCCCGTGAGTGGAGTACCCAGCACCCACTCATGTGCAAGCCCATGATATGTAGTCCTTAAAATCTGAAATAATCATGAAGATCGTGTTGAGAGGCGTTGTGTTGTCGTGCAACTCATATCTGGTCGTTCTGCAGATGCTAATCGTGGCAGCGCGCCCAGATACCCGCTTCCTACATGAACGAGCAACATCAGAAGTGAGCGAATGTCCTAAGTCCGTCGAAGTCCTTCAGGATGCTCTCGAGCTCGGGGTCCAACGCGGGTTGGTCGGCGAGGACCTCAGGGAACGGCGTGGGAGAGTTAGAGGGGCTGGAAGCCTGAGTAAGAGGAGTGGAGTGGACCGTATAGTGGTCGGGGGACATGGTGGAGATGGTCATTGGCATGTCCCAGTTGGTGTAGTAGGGCTGCTTATCCGGCATCGACGTCGGTGTGATCCATGCAGCCCATGGCACAGCACTATCCACCGCGGTGGCGGAGCCGTAAGCCGAGAAGGTTGGCACACTCGAGCTCCGCTCGATGTACAAGTTGTACACTGTGTTCTCAGGATAGGGAACTGAACCCATCGAACCCGAGTAGTCCGCGTAGGGAAGGGCGCCATCGTACATTTCTTGCAGGTCTAGCTGGGCCATGCATGAGGCAATCGGGGCGGAGAAACTTGGAATCGGGGGCACCGAGGGAATGACCATGGGCGCCTTGTAGAAAACCATGGCGGAGTTAGTCTCGACGGTAAGAGAGGGACGACGACTGCCAGGCGGTGCACGGAGAACGAGCTGTCCCGCCATCAGAGCGACTTCGTGGCTTGGTGAGAGCTCGCGAGCCTGTGGGGAAAACCAGGAGCGATGCGCCTTAGCCGGGCGCCGGAAGATGATGTTGTCAAAATCCTGCCAAATGAGTCAGAAGGTTGTTGGGCAGGGTATGCGAAGCAACTCACATCGACCTCAACCTCTGTCGGGGCAGGAACGACGGGCAAGGTACCGCGAGGACGTTTGTTCAGGACAACGACGACATTATGGGCATGGAGCCAATGCTGCTGAAGGAGCGTCTTCCGCGTAGTATCACTTGGAAATATTTCAGCATGTGTGAGGAACGGTGAAGCTGCTTGAACTTACAATGTGCAGTGGGGAGAGGTGCAATGCCACGGGCGCTGCCTAAGATGTGCGGAGCGGTAGTGCCGGGCGTAGGTGGAACCGCAGGAGAGAGGTTGCATGTTCTTGCACTCGGGGTGAGGACAGAGGTACTTGACCCTGAAAGGCTGAGGAGAATGTCAGGCTCGACCCACTGAAAGGAGGGAGGGATAGCGTACAGTAGAGCCAGCTACTTGCCGCGACTTCTGATTAGAACGGTGGGAAGGCATTGCAGACCGGTGCAATAATGGGAGAGAGTGCGTGGACTTGGGCCGTAGGACGATGGCGGGGAACAACTTCTGTCGAATTACAGGACGAGGCAGGAGGAGGAGGGCGGAATGAGGACATCAGGCCTTCAACAGCCAGGGTTTTATGGACTGGTGGGCTGAGGCGGTCCATTGTAGAACCAGCCAGACATCATCGGCTGTATGCGGTAAGCGCCTGCGTACGAAGCAGCGGCTTCAGCAGGTAAGGGTGCCACGAGACCACACGATTTCACGCCGACGAGACAGCCTGCGCCGGTCCCGACGAGAGAAGGTTGTCATGTCGATACGGCGGTGGTGTACGCAGATGGAAGAGGGAGGGAGCGCTTCCCCCGCACGTCCACGAGGCACTGCTGCAGACTACCAGGCCAAGCGTACTGTCAGGCGGCTCTCAATTATCAGCGTGGAGGAGAAACGATTCGACATACATTGATTAATTGTTCGTGGCCCAGTTGCAAATGCCGCTCTAAGGCCGCAACAGAGTGAGTCGGCACTGCCACCCGTTCCCGACCCCACGCATCGCTTTCCGAGGGTCGACCACCGCCTCCGAGCCTGTCCGCTTTCCCGGTGGTTAGCAACGAGGGCCTGCCCACGTTGCCAAACACTTCCCCGCGCCGAGACACGAGGACCGGGCGTGTCGTGTTTGTAAGGACGTAAGGAGAGAAGCAGCGGCCGCACCGAGAGTCTGGACAGCCGGATTTGCGCCAGTGATCACTGTGAAGCAGCAGCACCGCTGGCGCCGTGTCGACAATACTATCATCCAGCTTCTTGCACCCCTACATCGGGTTCCTATTAGCAACGATAGCAGGAGTTGTTTTAGCTGTGTTTCGAGTGTTGTTGTGTTCGACGCAACACGAAAGCAATAGGGCTATAGACCACCTGGAGATGGGTAATCTAAGCCGGGACGCACCGATAAGGATGAGCTTCTAGCTCTCAGCTCCTATCTTCAGAAGCACAGATAATTAGGCCATCGAACCATCCAGCCGCGAAATAAGCGGTTTCAGACATTAACCACATCATGAAGAACACGCTTCTCGGCGGCCAGAGCGTAGTTGAAGCCGTCAATATGCTGTCGGAGTTCGCAGCTGAGTGAATACAGCATGAAGCCCTTGATCGACAAAAATGCTGGATTGAACGGCAGAAGTGATGAGAGAGAAGAGTGGATCCAGTGCCATTCTGGGTGAGGAGGCAGGAGGACGAAGACACAACCAACCTGCGGCGTCGACGCCAGGTCCTGCTTCCGGTCCCTTACTCAGCTCCATACAAGCGCCGACCCTCTCAACATTACTTGTTCATGTCGACAAAGCCAGAAGAAGGAAATGACCGGTCAAACAAGGCAAAAAGCAAGAAGAAGTGAAAAGGAAGACCCTTGCCGCAGAGATTCCTGAACGGCAACGGACCGAGCACCGCCCCTCGTTGCTATGCAACACACGGACATAAGAGAAACACAAGGTTCCGCCGTCTGGACGTGTCGTAAGAGGATCGTGGTGCCAGATTCAAAGGAACGCTTTGTTTGAGTCGCAGGTGAGAGATTTTCACGTCATGTTGTCTCGACCACACGGTTATCGGCAAGCTTCACCACCGAAGGCTTGGATGAGACCACGTCAACAAGACCATCCCGATTGATCAATGACGCAATCACGAGAATCGATCTGCTCACCGCCATCCACGCGCACAGAAGGCATGATCTATGGTGGGCATTGAGTATTGGTGTCTGACGCTGGTGGTGTCGCTCCTCCCATCCAAGCCAAGTTTCTTTCATCATCACCATCCTCCCACCTCGGGTAGATTCCAGTGGATTCTATTATCTTCGGGCCTCAACAACGTACCTGTGCAATTGTTGGTCGTACAATTCCGGCTCAGGAGGTGATCAATGTGAGAATTTACGTTATGATTGAACCCTGAAATCAGGATCTCGAGAAGCAGCTCCGGAAATAAGACGTCACTAGCTGTGTTAGCATCGCATCTTCCCCAAAGCAGTGTACGAGGGTTCAGACCCTTCGCTGCAAGTTTGGGCGCTTTCGTTCACTATCGGCGCTCTCCTACATCGCACGCTTTGTAACCTATGAACAGAGGCGTCAGACACAACAATATGAGCATTAATCAGACAATTTATTATACGTTCCTTCCGGATTCTGGAGAAGCAAGGGCTACACTGACGCTGCTTTTCTTCACGTTCTCGTCCAACTTGTCTGGAGATCCAACATCCTGTGCGACCTCATCTCCCCCAGCTAGTTCGATATCTGTCTCCCGCAACCGAGGCGGCCTCCACATTCGGCTAGTCGGCTGCCCAGACCCCCTGTTTAACACAGGCAGTCGAGGGGAGGTGTCCACCGTTAAAGCGGTTGATGGTGATTCGCCTGGCGATGTTCTTTCCAAATATGTATCGAACCCCGGGATAATGACAGCTGGCGGATACTGGTTAACGATCCTGGACAATTTGGAGAGGTGGGGAATAATGCTTTCTCCGAATTGTAAGATTGCCTCCTGCATGAGTGTACTTTTATCCACATCGACCCGTAGGACCATGTACCCATATTCTTCCAGCAGTCCTATCCAACCACTTGCGAGCACAACACGCAACCAATAGCGCTGTTGAGTCGTGCCAACGCGCATTGCCCATACGAGCAGAGTGGTAATTTCCGCAGCTCGTGGATCCTGATTTTCCCTAGCAGCGCGTATAAAACTGAGAACAGACGGTTTCTTCAGCAGCAAACGCAAGTCGGTCCTCGGTACAAGGTTGATGGGGCCAGATAAAAGTCTGCCGACAAGTTGTTTGACGATGTCAGACTGTAGGTCAAATATCTGCAGAGCGGCCAGGAAAGTCTCCGCATCGAAGTTCGACATGTCCGAATATAACATGGTAGTTGCGCAGCTTTCTGCCACTTTGATGTCCAGCGCGTAATTTGCCATCAAATACTCTCGCTTTGGGAGTGGCCCGGTGCGGAGAGGGTGGAGCAACTTCTTCTCTTCGAAGAAGCGTCGAAGGTGTTGCATGAGAGTGTAGGCGTGGTCATGCTCTGTGTATCGGAATCTAGTATCCGTTGGTCGCAGGCTTGATACGTTGTGCAAAGCATAAGACATCAATGCGACGCGAGTTTCTTGCAAAATCTTTCCTTCGAGACAACAAACCCAAGATGCTTTGGGTTCCAGCATCGTGCTACCGGGATAGTCTAGGCATTCAGGTCGGCTGGCGGTCGGGCCGCCCAAGAGAGCGGAAACGACATTCAACAGAGGTGTTGGAATGTCTTTGCTGGTTGACATAAATCTCATTGTGAACTCCAAGAGGGCCAGCTCGCCCGTGCCTGTTAATCTGCCACCCTGGATGTTGCTGCGCCGAGACTGCAGAGCCATCGTCGATAATAGTCCTTGAAGCTTTGCCAGGCGAAGATATTCAAATGCCATACATGCACCGAAGAGCGACGCTGGCTTGCTGGGGTCATTCAATGCCATACAGAATGGATTGAAACCGACGATCAAGTCCGAGTGGTCCCATTCAAAATTGGGCGAAGAGGCACGCGTGTTGAAGACAGTTAGGAGCAAAGACCCAAAACAAATCATTGCGCCACGACTGTTGTCCTCGAATGCGGGCTCCAACATGGTCCAAGGCTCAGAGAGCCATGAACGAGGCAACCCTGGGGGCAACATGTTCGGATCAAAGGTCGTAAATATCGCAAGTCGCACCAGTAGATCTTCGGCTTCAGTTGGACAAGTCATCGTGCAATGCAGTTGCTCTGATCCAGGCTGGAGGAGGCGAGAAATTGCTCTTCGAGCGGTTTGCATGAAGACTTTGCGATATTGTTCGAATGTTGGATGCCAACTCCAACCGAACGCAGCACAAAGAACTGTCTCCTTCTCGTCTTCATCCGTGCAGGTGCGTTCAAGCCAACCTATAGCACCTGTATCGACAAATGCTTGATTCTGGTTGATCCAGATCTCTGCTCGGCGATTCAACCAAGGAAATTCGTCACCGATTCTCTGCAATATATCTTGGATATCCATGACCCAGTAAAAGATATGTCGGCGCAGATTCCACCCTTGACGAAGTGAGTTTAGAGTTCGAGTAGGACGGAGGTGTCGAAACCGAAATCCAGTCGCAAGCTCGAATGCGGATGTAAGCTGAGATTTGTATGGACAGCTCGTGAAAATGATAGGTGCCAACGAGACGAGCACGTAAAGTATTCCAGCAGATAACCAGATCGTGGCCATTATGGCCGTCAATACGGTGTTAACTCCCCATGGATATACGATGAATCCAACGAGGAAGATAAAGACGGCAATGTGGAGCAGAATAGGAAGGAAGTTCACCATTGTATGCACGTGCCATACAATGATTCCTGTATATCGGAACTGTCGTTGTCGCGCTTGTTCCATCTCGACGGAGGAAAGATCAGCGCTGTATGCGCCGAACCATTGCTTAGCGAGCATGGCGACAACTGATGTGAACAGGCTTATGGTTAGACTGATGAGCCATAACCCATTGATGCATACCGACATCGTTGTCGGTACAAACGAATTGGGTATTTGGTAGGGCTCCGGTGGGACAACTCCGGGATTGTTAAGCGCTCCAATCTGAGCGGAGAGGACGACCAGAGCATCGACCGTGTGCTGAGAGTTGTGGGGGAACAACGCGCCCAAGGACGCGACCAGGAAAGCCGTCAGCACAGCGGAGAAAAGGGCGGACTGCAAGCTCGTCAGCTGGGAAACTCGTGGATCCACAGGCTCAGAGCGCACAAAAACAAGCAGCACATCCATGTTCGCGTCCCATTTCTCGATTCTTGTGCCATGTACATCTGCAGCTCTACGATTGTATAACGACCAGACAGGCGAATTGTCGCCCTTGCCTATCCACGAAGGAAGATCGTTCGCAAAATTTCGATCCACTGCCGGCCGGCCCCATGGTTGAGTGTCTTGCAAGGGAGTGTTGGTATCAGTCCTCTTCTCATCGCCAGTGTTGGAGGTCTCAATATGCGGTGAAGCACGCGCCTGTTCAGGCTGAATTTGAAGATCGGTGTTAGCAAGTTATACGACTGGTGCGACTCAGTTGTAAGCCACATACAGAGTTGTTTCCCATGTCGAGCAGGAGGCTGACAAGCAACAAAACAAAATAGGCGCCCTGCCTGCAGCTCAGGGTGTACAGGGTACTTGCAGCGTCACAAATAGACGTTGACAACGGACACCCTGTTAGCACAGCGTACATAAGAGTTTAAGAGGGTCGCTGATCTCCTCAATCGCCCAATAAACCCACTGATGAACGTTGACATTCCGTTGATGAGATAGCTGGCAGTACCGGTGATGAACGCAGTGCGAGTCGCCGGATTATAGGAACTTCATTTCCCCCCGATTGAATCGAAAGGTATGCGGCCGCACAGGAACCAGTAACATTCCCAATTGTGTGCAAGTCACATACGATAAGCTATGCATGTAGATCACAAAACTTTGTTAGCAATGATTCGTTCAAGCTAGTAGTTAAGAGAAAGACAACGTTGCGCTTGTTATCGGTCTGTGCTATAGTTCAACAACGAGCGGAAGCGAAAGTTCCTCCGCTCGATCAGTGATCGTTCAACCCGCCCGCGTCGACTCAAGCTGGCTGGTCGCTGCCCTGTGGTCGCTTGACGCTGACCAAATCCTCTTGCTCGTCGTCCTCCACCAGAACTTCAATCCACCTCCCACAATACACGTTACGTGTAACGTCGCATTGCTTTTCTCTATATTCATCAGATATCGTATCTACGACTACCACAATGGCGTCGCGGATGGCAATATCCTCCCTCCTTGATGGCCCATCTGGCAGCCCCAGCCCGGCGGGCAAGGCAGAAGCGCTGCCATCTTTAGCAGAGGTTACTGCTGGACTTTCTTCGCCCAAACACCGATATGGATCCGTTGAGGACAACGGTCGGCATGAAGACGCTACGTACTACGCCCACGTCACCTACTACCCGCCTCCGATGTCGAGTCCGCACACTCAATATGCTGGCTACCCACCCCCAGCGTCGAGCTATGCATACCCGCCAGCCCACCTTCCAACGTATGGACATACACCCCCGAGTGCCTATCAGGCATATGAGCGCCCTTACTCTCGTCACTCTATCCAATCAACCTCCTCACACTCACGATCACCTGAGCTGCCCACATCTCTCGGTGTCACCGGCATGAAGAGGAAACGCTCGGATGAAGGTGTCGTGGACCCAACAGACCGGGAGAGGGATGTCAGAAGCCGATATGGATACTCCGATATGCGAGAGACATACGAACCAGTTCCTCCTCCACCCCATCTATCGCCCAGCCACTCGCTGCCACCATCGCTGCCACCGTTACCGGACGTGTATATCCACTATTCACGCGAGCCCCCTGTGGAACCCCACTACTACGCCCAACCACCTCATACGCATCCTCCACGTCGACATACGCCCCCTCAGGCAACGCATACACCGAGCTCCGGTGAGCATTTCCCGCGTCAACAATATTATCAACACGCTCCCGCACCATCGTCGTATGCATACCCACCATCTTATATGCGTTATTCGACGAGCCCTGCACGGGAGCACGAGCGAGTTTCCCCGCATGCAGAGTCCCATCATCCATCCTATGCGCCTCCACCCGCTCCATATCAGCCATATCATTCCCCAACATCGTCATACGCGTTCCTACCGGCGCGCCATTCGCAGTCTCCGTATGGATCTCGACCAGTATCTGGTAATCGAGAGCCGATCATCGCCACTCCCTACGCTGTGCCACGTACGGAGACGAGCTCAGTGGTTGAGATGGCATTGCGGGAGGAGGAAAGGCGTAAGCAGTCGGGTGAAAGGTGGGTGGCAAAAATGCCTGAGAGTGCAACGAGCGACGTAAAGACTTCGCCTGTCATCTTGAAGGTCGAGGAGGCGACCAGAGAGGAGCCCGTTCATGAGACGATGACGAACAATGGGGTCCACGGATTGCCGCCGCCGGATGCTTCAGAATCAACAAAGCCAAGAGACGAAGTGCCTTTGCTTCAGGAACCTACCACCATACCGCGAAATGACGAATCCCATCAGATGGAACAGCCTGTCAAAGCTCAGATAGCTGCTGCAAAAGTCCTGGAAGTTGAACAAGGTCCTGCACCTGAAGAAAATTTTGCACCTCCGGCAGATGCGACGACAGCACAGTCTGAGCCGCAGAAGCCGAATCCGAAGCTTGTGGTAGAGGTCGAGGTCAAAGCAGAACCTCCTGCCGACATGGATATAGACATCGTTTCGGAGTCACCAGCAGCGACTGTTTCTGTCCCGCATCAAACCCCAGTCGAAACCAGACTCCCCATCGTCGATCGCTCACCTTCACTCGCCTCAACCGTGCCTCTTGCAACGGACGCCGTCGAGCCCTCACCCGCTCCGACAATCCCGAGACGTTCTACATTGCCAGATGCGGAACCATCCCCAGCGCCGATTGTCCTTCGTGTCGAACCGTCGCCAGCACCAATCGTCCTCCGGAATGAGACCAAAGAAGAACCGACAAGTCCGGTCCTGAACGTTGACGTACCTTCCCCTCCCGTGTCAAGCATCATCAGGCAACCACCCGACGCGCTGCCGACTTCTGGCAATGACATTAAGGTGCCCGAATCAACACAATTGACGAGCCTTGTGGATGCGGCGCTTCATCCATCCGTGAAGTCAGAGACACCGGCGGTGGCAGGCAAGGACGATGTTGAGGTTGATGTTGTTGACGGGCCAGAGCCAACGCCAGACGTTCCAAGGGGTACAAGCATTCTCTCTGAAGCCGTAGGGGTTGCCGCAGAGAAAGCGGCCGTTTCGAAGGGCAAGCCAAACAAGTCGAAAGCCAAGAGTCATCATAAGGCATCGAATTCCACATCCAAGACAGAATCGAAGTCCAAGTCTAAGGCGAAGGATTCAAGTAAGACACCGGTCGCCAAGGACAAGGATGTAACAAAGCCGCGAGCGGCGGATGCCTCGCCTGTACCGGCGGCCAAAACAAAGGCAAAGAAGTCTAGCGGGAAGCAAACGGCCCGTGTGGCCTCACTCGAACCGCCACAAGAGACTCCAGAGCCCGCGAAGGCCGACGACGAGGAAGACAAAGAGAAGGACGATCGGCTGTATTGCGTGTGTGAGACGTTGTATGACGAGGAGAGGTTTATGATCGGGTGCGACAAGTGAGTCTTCATAATCCGTGATACGAACGCCGTGTACTTACAGGATGAAAAGGTGCGATAACTGGTATCATCCTGCTTGCGTGGGGCTGGAAGAAGAGCAAGCAGATCTCATTGATAAGTTCTTCTGCCCGAGATGCATTGCTGGTGCGTACAATAGCCACTCCGAGTTCGTCGGTATTCACTATTATCCAGCCGATGCTACACTGAACACGACGCACAAACGTCCATGCGCCCGATATCCCTCTTGCACGAATCCCTCCCGCCTTCCAGCTTCCAAGTACTGCTCAGACGAATGCGGCCAGGCGCGAGTGGAAGAGATCTACAACATGCAGCCCAAGTCTGTTCAAGCTCTTATCAAGAAAGTCGTGGAAGGTGCTAAGCGACCCGAGGGCCGCGTGGATCCTGTCACTGGCCGCGTCAGTGGCCAGGGCAAGGGGGAAGACGCGCAATTGGCCATGCTCGAAGAGCCGTTGCAACAGGTGCTGGACGAGCGTGCCGAGAGCGAGCGCCGGTTAGAGACGTGGGAACGGCGCGAGCGCATCGTTGACGCTATCGTGAGTCGGTGGAAACACGAGCAGAAGGACGAGGGCATTTGCGGGTACGACGAACGCCTGGGTTGTGGATGGGACGAGATCGACGCTGTGGACCCCAGCGAGGTGGCCGAGGTGTGCCAGGAGGGACTCAAATGTGATCGTCATCGGGGTTGGGACAAGGCCCATGTCGAAGTGGTAGCGCGGGCGAAAGCGCTGGAGGTCCGTCACCTTCCGTTCGTGTAGGCATATGCTGACTCCGATGCCAGGAGGAGAACCTGCAGGATCTCACCCTTCGCGAGCGGAATATAAGAAGGGATATGGAACGTGTCGAAGTACGACGCAAGGTCGTCCAACGTACATGGCACCGAGCACCTGATGCGCTTTCCGGTCCTCCCTTGCCCGACGCTCACCTGGCGCCAGAAGTGATCGACGTGAAGATCGAAGTCTGACCTGGTTTGTTTCTTGTTCTTGTTCTGATTCGTTATCGCTTGCTTGGTTATTCGAATTTCTCCTTGGACTGTGCGTTGTATTCATTCCTGCATGATGTGTATCTGTACATGTAGTGGTACGCAATCCTGATCACGACTGTCTCCCGCCTGTCCTCTCTCTGAGCCTCACAGGATAGCAATAGCATTCGGCGTCGATGCAACTCCGCCAGGGACGTTCAGCGGCGCACTAGTGAAGAAGAACGTCCACTTGTTCTGTTTCTCGCTGCACATCTTCGCGTCAGAACATACCCTCCGATATGGGGTAAACGTACCAAGCCTTGGCCAGTTTCTCGAGATAGAACATCTCTCCTATGGGAATGCCCGCCAGGGGGAGAAGCCAATGATGCAGTCCGTCACCGGTGATCCCAGGGCACTCTACACCAGCCATCAACCGTCAGTTCCCCCCTTGCAGCCAGACACGGGCTCACGTTCAAAAGCGACATTGTCCCCCACCACAGCGGCCAAATGAGAGTCCCATATCCACTTCTTCGCCTCCTCATCCGCCCTAACGCCTATCCACTTTCCCCCATTCTCCCTAAACGCCCAACTCCGTTCCTCCACACTGGCAGCTTCGTACCACAGGTGCATGCCAAACCTGACGAAGAGGATGTCACCCGGCTTGACGACGGTACCTTGGAAGGACGCGACTTGGAGCAGCTCGGAGATGGGGACGTTCGTTTCTGTGCACGCTTTCGGCAGGGTTTGGTCTGTGAGGAGACGCCAGCGGGCCCAGTCGAGTAGCACTCCGCGGCCGGCGATGCCCCCTGCCTCGACCCAGTCTACCGTGTATCAGCGTCTGAAGGCTTGAAGTAGTACTCCGTGCATGGGAGGGACTAACGATGCGTCCCATTCCTCATCACCTCCTTCCCTTGCTTCACGTCCTCCAGCTTCAACCCGCCATACAACACCCCTTCCTTCGTCGCACAGTGCTTAAACCCATCCCACTGGCTCGAGCTCTGCGTATTGATATGAATCTCATCATCACACCCCCACCAGCCCGGTCCATCCGTGCAGATGACCTTGTGCGCCAGGGGGACCCGAGTAGGGGACGGGTGGAGCGGGTCAGACAGGGACCAATCAAGTTGATACCGTTCGCCGGTGGTGACTTCCCCCAAGGCGGAACGGACGACACAGGGAGTGAGCATGTTCAGTGCTCCGAGCTGGTCTTGGGAGCCCCAGATGGACCAGGCGGTGCCGTGTGGGAAACCGGGGACGGGGGGGAGGTCGGCCCAGCAGGGAACGGACTGCGGTTCGATCATCTTGCGTGCGTGGGGGGTATGAAGGGTGTGGAGGATGGAGGTGACATCTTACTTTCTGAAGAGAGGTTTATGTACTGTTCATCGATATCCTTGGCAGGAATGTTCTGCTAGGAGGATATTACGGGCCGGTTACTCATTCCCAGTGTGGAGCAGCATAGTCAAGAGACTTGTAGATGTGGGGGTGGAATGGTGGACGTCGACAATGAGAGAAGGGATGAATGATGATGCGAGCTATTCATTTCTCGTGGGACTCTTCCCTTCCCTTCCCCGCACTAGTCATCATTGATCTGCTGAAATAACATAATCAGATATCAATGTAATGCTGGCGACTGTTCTGACAATCGGTGTACATATTTATTTCTGCTTTTGTTGAATAATTAAATAAAGTCATTCAACAGCTCAAGAAGCGCTCAAAGAAGGGTTACGACAGACCTCAAGTAAGCCAAACAGGCGCCCAACGGTGGTTCTGTGCACGCTGTCACCAGCTATTCTCGACGATGGCGCAATGAATGTTATCGCTCATTGGCACAGCGCAGTCCATAAATACAACTCTGTTGCTGCACTCGGCCCCACCGTCTATACTACTACTACCACCACCATAGACGATGTCCGCCCCAAACCCGACGACAGCCGATCCAGGTACAGTCATATTCTACGACCTGAAATGCGCGACGCCTAACACCTGCTGGTCACCTCACTGCTGGAAAGCCCGGCTGGCTCTACAATACAAGCATGTCCCGTTCCGTACTGTCTGGGGTGTGTCCTTCCCCCCCCCCCTCCCCTTCCTCTCTACACTGTCTAACACGAGCCCCGCAGTCTCGTACCCGGATATCAAGCCCCTCCTAGGTCACACCCAGCCCGAAGCGAAGACCGTAACCCTGCCAGTGATCCAGCACGGCCAAACCTGGGTGTTCGACTCCTGGGAGATCGTGCGGTACCTAGAAGCCCACTTCCCCACTCCTTCCCTCCTCCCAAACCCGCAGTCAGCACACTTCTTCAAACTGTACAACGACACCGTCCTCGTCGAATCCGTATGGAACCTCTTTGCCCCTCGCGTGGCGAACATACTCGATGAGAGGGGGAAGGTGTTTTTCGTCAGGACGAGAGAGGAAGACCTGGGTATGAAGCTGGAGGATGTGGGGAGGGGGGAGACGGTTGACCAGATTAGAAGGCCGTTGGGGGTTGTGGCGAGGAATTTGGCGCAGTTTGGACCGTATTTGGCGGGAGAAGAGGGTGAGTGTTTTCCGACCTTGCTTTTCTCTGTTATTGCACACTGTCCTACTGCTGTCCCTTCGTATCATCTCTTGTCGCTTTCCCTTCCTGCTCTCCTTGGCTGCTCTCCCGGGTTACCCCATTCTAACTTCTTTTCCTCCTACCCTCCCTCCTTGCTATTCCCCCTCCTCCTGCCCTTCGCTTCCTCTCCCACAACACACTAACCCCCTCCCAGTAACATACCCCGACCTCGTCCTGCTCTCCACCCTCCTCTGGTTCCAGCGCGCAAACCCCGTCGATACAGAGACGATCCTCGACATGTTCCCCTCGTCTAACGTGAGCCGGGCGCCGATCGTGAGGGAGTGGTTTGACAGGGTTAAGGGCTTGGGGGTCGTCCAGGAAGAACCGGCGGAGTAACCGCGGGGATGGGAAGGCAGGGAGGGGGAGGGTGTCGAGCATGCAGGAAAGGGTGATTGGAAGCAATGGTACGATGGGATCGGGCAAAGCGCGGGACAATGTAGGACACTTTGAGCTAGGGGAACGTCGAGATAGTACAAGAAATAGGATTAGGATTAACGTTCGCTGCTGCGTACTTCGGTCTCGCTCCTTACTGACTCACTACATCGCTACGCCGTGTTCCCCCTCACTACACTCTAGCACCTCAACAACTCAACTGTTCAGCGACACCTGCTCTCCTGCTCGATCTTCGCCATAGGTCGCAGACGGGTACAAGACACTCCTCTATCGCTCTCCCAAAGAAAGCCGGAGAGTCACGGCCGTTCACCATATGGACTGAGTACAGATGCCGATGCCGACGGTATCGATATTGGCTAGGACGTAAGGCAGCAAAAGAGACGAATCGATGGCGGGACAAGGCGACCAAAGAAAGATACATATGTGCACGAAGGGTATTAAACGGAGGATGCTTGAGACGGGATCTGGAATTTTGTTCGCATGCGTATTGTGGATGGACTCGGACTCGGACAGACTGGGATTGGGACGCGAAGTTGTAAAGAGAAAGGCGGATTATTGGTGCGTGCTATGTCGGGTAGTGGATGATCGAAGGGTGGGGGGAAGATGTACGTCTATCGTCGATCGCAGGTCTTATGGTACTTTTAGGCGTTTCCGCCGTGGTGAGTGGGTGCATGAGCTGGCGTAGGAGCCGGTTGAACGTGAACAGCCAGCAGCTCAAGCAACAGGGGCAAAGCTCCTCCTATAACCGATGAGCGGTCATACGCCCCAAACGGAGGGCAACTCACCGATTAAGGACCAGTCCCCGGGCAGCCCTCATCTCCCTCTGCACTCCCTCGGCCTCCCGTTCCCACTTGGCGAGTGCGTCCTCCCATGCCTGATTCTGGCCGTGTGTGCGGAGAGGGCCATAAGTGCGGGAAGAGACGTATCCTGTCAGTTCTGACAGCGTCTGGAGCGCTTTTTGCGAGGAATGGCTCGTTTTCAGGTGGTCGAGAGCGGGAGTGAGGGGGGAGAGGGACGCAGAAGGCTGGGAGTGGGCAGCGAGTTGCGCTGCGTGCAGGGCTTGTAGCTGGGAGGAGAGGCGTGCTGCCAGCACTAAGGCGTGCGCTTTGAGCCCTGCACGACGTGCGAGCGTCTCGTCCAACCTAGGTAAGACCCATTTCTGCACATAGTGAGTAACCTCGTGCTATGCTATAGAGACAGAGAGTGGACATACGTGGTAGATGAACCCCGCTACGCCGCCTGCTGCGCTGACCCACGACAGGACGCGGAAGAGGGAGCGGAGCATGCCGGTGATGTCGGAGTGGGAGGCGAGTACGAGGGGGAGGACGGGGGTGTAGTCCCTCTGTGGCAGCGCCGGTGTGGATGCTGCGGCTGAGATGGGCTCGGGGGTGGTGGGGAAGGAATGATGTACTGGGGAAGGAGGGGGAGGGGGAGGACAGGGAGGAGGAGAGCGAGGACGGGAAGGGGGAGGAGGAGGGGGAGGCATCGTGCTCAGCGTCTTGGTGGTGGTGGTGGTTGAGAAGGAAGGAGGGGAGAAGGGGTGAGCAGCGGTACTTGAGCACACAGGGATTGAGGCAGTCGAGTCAAGTATATGCGCATATATCTTCTCCTCGTGGATCGACGCAGCTGAAAAAACCAGTACTTTCACTCTATTTTTTCTCAGCGTTCTTCGGAGAGTTCCAGCAAAGGACCCTTCGTCCACTCGGCATTATGCAGATCACAGGCAGATCTGCTCACGATTCGACGACGACGCACATGCCACCCAACTGAACAGGAAAATATCCCCTTATACGAGTTCACGAATATGTGCACGTAGTACGGTATACATGCTATCGCGACCATCGGGCACGTAATTCTACGAACCTCGTAACGATCCGATCTGCCAGTACAGCTTCGACACACGCACACACCTGGGCCAGACCAGAATCAGTTGTGATCAGCCCATCATCCCCATCTGTTCACTTTCCCTTCCTCTCCGACTTCGTCAGCAGGACCTGAAAAAAAGGGAAAAGAAAAACATGAAACGCGGCAACCGTCTGCCGGTGGGGAGCAGTCGTCAAGCCCACCCAGCCCACTCTGCGCTACTCACTTTTTTCGACGTACTTTCCTGTGAAAATCTAGATAAAATGTCCGCCCTGAAGCTGAATTTGAGCATGGATACGGGAATGGATACGGATACGAAGCGTGTGTGAGTGGGTGGGTGTGGGCCGTGATTTGATATCACCGGAGCGTTGCGTCATCTTGCGAAGCGTTGCACAAGCCAGAATGAAGCAGACTCCGCGCAGGATGTCTCTTCCAGAAGCACACTTTACTTGCTCGGTACCGCGTAGGTTTTCCAATTTGTGGGAAAAGACGAGTACCAAATCAGGTTCATCTCTCGGTCAACATCATAACATCGATATCAACCAGCTTACAATTGATTGTGTATGTTAATCCAAGAACAGAGGGCATGTATATCCATCCACATTTTCATGTCCACATTTCCTATACATCAAGCAGAATGGCATCCAGCAGCCTTGACCTCCAGCCGCTCAACAGCACCATTAATCAACAGGACAAGTCTCGCCGCTTCGGACTTTGCCAGCTCCGAGTCATGCTCAATCGTGAACGCTTCCGTAAGCCCCGGGAAGGTCGTCGCGCCATACCCTAGACAACGTCAGGCCGAGTGCCACGGGCAAAGGTTATAAGCAGGAAAAGCTCACCAAGCCATAAGCCCGGAGCAACGAGCACATTCTTATACCACTCCCTGTGCCTCAGCCCCTCCGGGCTTATGAATGCCCGCTCAAAGCTGCTCAGCTGCTTGTTAACCCTCCTGACCCTCTTCACAGCCTTCAGCAGCGCTTTTGGCACTCGCACTTGAGCCGGCTCGGGGTGCATTCCCAGGAGGCGTTTGAGGAAGTTGCCCAGTTTGGCGAGGCAGGCGTGAGGCCGGTGTTTCAGCTTTTTAAGCTCCTTGAGTAGCTCGGACTCGGCGGTCACTTTCTCGTTGTCCAGCGCGACGGAGGCCGTTTGGAGAGAGGAGATCGATTCGCGCAGAGCGGAGAAGTCGAACTCGAACGACTGGGCTACAGCGATAGCCTCTACCCTAGGGGATCGTGAGCTTTCCGCTTCGGAGGTGTGAGAGGGCCTACTTTTGAAGATACCAAGAGATCTCAGCCGCGTACTGCGTCGTATTGATCGGCAGAATGATCGTGTCCGACATCCTCAGTGCCGTCAAGCCGAGATACTTTGCCACAGCCGCCTATGTATATCGCACTCAGTTCCCTCTAGAAAGTGGGAAACGGAAAGCCGGAAAGACGCACATGCCGATGATATCCCGGGTCACCGAACCTCTCCATCCACCCTACAGAATCGTACACCGAATGATAATGATACACCGGGTCGGAAACTGTGGCTCCAAACCCTCCGTCCGTGCTCGCGACCCCAATATGCTGGAGGAAGACGGTGTAGTCTGACCCGCTCCCCAGCGCAGACACGGCGGTGTACTCTGCACTGCTGGGCATGGAGGTGCGGAGGGAATGCTCCTCGTCCACCCAGGAAAGCCGTTCGTCCCTGAACATCCCCGCTTCTTCGGGGGAGAGGACGAACCCCGGGCGGGCAGTGTATATCCCAGAATCCTTCGTCGCGTCCCACAGGCTGCGCCCGGGGTCTGTAGGATGAGGTACGCGCTCGGCGCTCGACCGTGCGAGATGGGCGAGAGAGGGTGAGGCACCGATGTGGAAGCGCGAGCCGGAGGCGGCAACGTCGACGTTTAGGTAGGCCACGACGTGTTCCTCTATCCAGGAGGCGAAGTCTTCGCCCCATTCGGTGGAGCCGATGAGTCCGTACTAGACAACGGTATGAGCAATCGACTCCTTTGTTGGGTTAGACTGAACACACCTCCTCAGCATCCCAGCTAGCGAACAGGATGGTCCTGAGCGGCTTCCACCCTTTCTTCAACAACACCGAGAACCCCTCAACGATCTCGTGCACCGTCGCGCCCCCCGAAGTAGGGTCGGCGGCGCCCATCACCCATGCTACGTCCCGTTAACGAGTGGCGGAGCAGAAGAAGGTGAGGAAGACGCACCGTCTCTGTGGTTGCCGATGACGACGACTTCGTCGGCGATGTGTCCCGGGATAGCGGCCATCGCGTTCCAGATAGGCATAACATGGTCGTTGACTAGATGCTTCTGGATCAGCATCATCCCTTCCGGGAACGAGCGCGACCCACCCTTATTCACGACCTTCACGACCGCGCCCTTCTTCGCGAGCAGCTTGAGCTTTTCCGCGTTAGCCATCGACAGCGGCAAGCTCGGGATACCGGGGATGTTCCCCCCGTCCAGCCTCGTACTGTTCGGATACGCCGGCTGGCCAGGAGTAGTAGGATCACCAGGGTACACGCTGAGGTACTGTACGCTTCCTCTCTGGATCGCTGTCGGCGCGCGTGCAGGACCAGCAGGGTACTCCTCATACGGAGGGGAGAGGACACCGTTATCGTCCACCGGGTCAGAGTAGATCAGGCAAGCAGAGCAGCCCGCTTCCTCAGCAGCCTTGACCTTCAGTCCCCGGAAGAGCTTTCCATACTGGACGAGGGCGATACAGTCCTCCGTGTCGACTCCCTTGGCCTGGAGGGCAGAGAGCGCGCTAGCAAGTTCTCTCGGCGTGCCGTACCCCGCGTACACAAGTGGGCCGGAGGCGCTCCCGTTCTTGCTTAGCCCATGCCAGGGCCCGACGGACTCTGCGTATTCTCCTCCCGCGTCGCCGGGAAGGGGGATCTCCTCCAACGGTGCGGACCAGAGGAGCGCGTCCCCCTCCCATACTTCGACACTCTGCCCGCCTTTGACAGGCTCGTTCATCACCGGATAGTACTTATCGATCCATGCCGAAGGCTTCTGCCCAAACCTGCTCACGCTCAGCGTCGCGCTCTGCGAAGCGGGGGAACCGGCGTCATAGATGGGCGGATCGGAGGGTACGGGAATCCCGAACTTGGACTGGAAGTGCGAGAGCACGTGAAGGGTCGTTATCAGGTCGCCTTCGGAGGCGGCACGGTGCGGCGTGCTGGCGAGGAGCACGGACCGAGCGTGTGCAGAGTCGTTTGTCGGGATCGTACTGCGAGGGATGTTATTCAGTTCTCAAGATGCAAGGGGAGACGTACATAAACAGATCCTGAGCTTCCTTCCAGCCGATAGTCTTCTCCTGCATCCCCCCCATCCAGAACCCAGCAACCTCATCATTCATCCCCAACAGCCTGGCCATAGTGCGCCTAGCCTCTTCCTGATCAGCGCCAAAGTCGAGCACCTTCCCTTTCTGGTGGGAGGGGGCGAACGACAGCCCGTGCCGGTAGAGGAGGGCGACGAGTCCCGTGAGGTATAAGCCTACGAGCACACGCTTGAGAACCCGACGCCGTGGGGGCGCTCGTCGATCAGCGGGGTCGGCCTGGGGGAGTAGCGAGCGTTTCTCGCTAAAGAACGGCATGTTTTGCCAGCCTCGCGGGGGAGATGATGGTCAGGGAACAAGGAACAAGGAACAAGTTATGCTTTAACCATTTGCTCATTTGCTCTCGTGCACAGTCGTCAGTTGGCTAGGTAACCCCCACGCCCCCAAGTTCAGCCAGCAAGATAAGCCAGATGCCAGCACGAGTACTAGTGATTGGCCTATAGAAAACAGCACATGGATCGGGAGCAGACAGGAATCGATGTTTGACAAGGGGGAATACACCGGGCACTCGCAGCGGCAGGGTCTTACTTGACATGACCTGGCCATGGAGGGCTAGGCAGTTGGACCTCTGTCCGGCACATCAGAGATCATGATCATAAACAGTGAAAGCATTAGCAGGAGAAAAGTACAGATGACTCGGCTGGAGTATAGTGGTCGTGTAAACCAAGTGTGGAAGATGCCGGCCGATCATCAGCATCATCATCATGCCGAGAAGGTGTACGACAACACAAGAACATGCAGACATTTTCCGAGCAGTCGAGACAACAACAGATCAAGTACTTATTATCCAAGCATAGAACATAGAGTATGATAGTCTCATTCTAATACCCCACTAGCAGATTATCGTATCCCCCCTCCCCTCCCCTCCCCTGGCCAGGCAAGTTCAACAACTCCCAATACTCGCCCATCTCATGCGCTACCACTCCCCTCAGAACCGGCCAATCCCTAAACAGCCTCCGAACTCGGGAATGGGTGTCCATCAGTGTACGTTCGGGACGTTGGGGGTCGGGGCGGGCTGCAGGTGGGGAAGGAGTTGGGAGAGGGGTGGGGAGAGAGTTAGGGGTGGGGAGAGAGCTGGTGGGAGCGGGTGCTGGGTGGGAGGGGAGCACTGGGAGGAGCGGGAGGGGGTTGGTATGGGAAAGAAGGACAGAGGTGCCGAGATACTCCTGCGTCTGGGGGTCGACTAGAAACAACTAAGTACGTAGACCCGATGTAGTGTGAAGACGCACGATTCCAGCTCTTGTGCACTAGAGAGTCCGTTTCCTACACACTGTGCGTTAACCTCCGCAGAGAGAGTACTTGGTAGGAAGGGTTTGGCCTACGTTCACCACTCTCCACAGTCTACAAGGTCTCTCCCAGCTCTTAGCCAGTTTCTGGTCAAACGCTACGTGTACCAATCATCGTCAGCAGAAACTCGCACATCCCCACCCAACCAACCCACCTCTGGCAGAGAGCGTATCACACACACTCGGCGAGCCAAACACGTACCCATCCCCCACTTGCACTCCCCACTCCCGCTCCCGCTGCTCTATATCCAGCACAGCGGCCATCGCGAGCGCAGCGACCGCTCCCCCTGCTCCGTGGCCAGTGAAATAGAGCTGGACGTGTGCAGCTGGGAGCTGGGAAGAGAGTATGCGCACGCTTTGGAGGATGGTGTGGTATGGCAGCCGGGCGGAGGGGGTGGATGTGGGGAAGAGACGGTCTGAGAAGCAGGTTCGGACTGCCAGGGGTTAGTGGGTTGAGAAGTAGGAGCTGGGGGGGGGAGCGAACCTTTGCCGAACCCGTGTATCTGACTTAGCTGGACTGAGGGGGACTGGGATGTCCAGAGGAGCTCGTCTACCATACTCTTCCATTCCGCTGCTCCTGTTAGCTGCGTTATCCTGACGAGGAGGAGGAGAGTACAGTACCATGAAAAACCAGCACGATCCAATTCGAGTTCATACTGCTCCTGGGTAAGCTTGCCTCCCAAACCACAAACGATACATACTCATAGAACGCCGCACAACAGCCTTCTCCACGCGTATTAAGCGCGCTAACAGGGACGTACTCTAGCCCAAAAGCTCTAGCAGCGAGCCTCACATACCCCTCTCCATGCTTGGCGAACCTGTCCCCTGTCCCAGGCCGGGGCTGGCGGCAGGCAAGGAGCGCACAGAGCTGGAGCAGCACGCGGGCGGCGGGGAGGGAGAATTGGGAGTGGGAGTGGGCGGGGAGGGGAAGGGTGGAGAGGGCTTCTTTGCCTGCTGAGAGTTGAGAGGGGGAGAAGCAGTCGAATAACGTATAAGAGGTTTCGTGTTTCAGCTTCAGGACTGGGGGGGAGGGGGGTAGGGGGTTAGCATGGCATGATATACTGGTGCAGAGCGTGGGTACTTACGGTCAGAGAGAGGAGGAAAGCGGTACTTGATCCTGAGTAGAGTCCACGTTTCTTCGACCAGACGAGCCAAGTACTGCAGAAGCGGGAAGAGGGTCGACAGCGCCGCTACGGTAAGTACGTCCCACACATGCCTCGGATCTAGAATATTAGAACTCAACTCAGGAGTGACATCCCTCCTGAACCCGTACTTACTACCCAGAGAGTGCCCCACCGCAGCAAGCGTTCTCCACCATAACAAGACGCAGAAAGTCGCATACTGGCGTATGTCCACCCCGACACTGACACTTCGTCCAGTACCAGGAAGAGGAGAGACAGACGGCTGCCGCTTGAGCTGCTGCAGCAGGTCAGAGAGGGTTACGTTGCTGGGCGGAGCGCCCTCTTCGGGGCTGGCGACGAGTGTCGGGCTGAGGACGTGCGTGCGGGAGGGAGAAAGATTGGGGAAATTGAGGTTGTGCGTGTCTAGCGAGCGGGACTTTGTTGGTGTAGCCGGTGTTGGACGGGGAGGACCTTCCATGTCCACTTCTGGAGAGTCAGAAACAGGCATCGGTTCCCCCGGATCTCTCGAGAGGCCAGCATTGTCTCCATAACCCGTTTTCCGCTCAAAAGAAGACGGCAGTCCAGAGGTATACCCCTCCCCCTCCCCCTCCCCTCCAGTCTTGGGCAACCCTTCCCTAGTAGGAGAGGGCAAAGGGGTCACCCCCACCCCCTGTCCATGCCCAGGCCCAGGCCTGCCAAACGTACCACTCAAACTGCTTGAGAAACTATAGGTCGAAGATGTGCGAGACCTGTCCATGAGCGGGAGGAGCTGGGGGGGCTCGAAGATGTTGTCCATCTCTGGGGAGGTGCGGTCCTGTAAGGGGGAGGTGGTTGGGAACGGTTTGCGGGAGGGTGGGTTAGCCTCCTCGGGAGGGTGGACCTCGTTCGAGGGGAAGTAAAGGGAAGGTGACGTTTGCTCAGAGTGCACTGTAGGCAGAGAACTCCCACTCGACTTCCTCCTCTCCTCCCCGCTAACGCTAGCACTCCCACACCCCTCCCAATCACGAACACTCGCCCCGCTCGCGTTGTCCTCCAAGAGCAAAGCAGCAGCGTGGAATGAGATCGACCCTGATGAGGTGTCGTATTCTTCTGTGTCGGTGAGGAGGGGGATGATTGGGAGGGAGGAGATGGAGGGACGGGAAGTGAGAGAGAGGGTTTTGGGACGACGGTGGTGTGTGGACATGGGTGGTATGAACAGGTGGTGCAAAGGGGAGAGAGAGAGGAGAGAGGAGAGACGCTGTTAAATGCTCCATTAATATTTACAAGGTTTTTGAGTGCTGTAAAGGGGATGCAAGCCGCACTATAAACCGGCGTTTACCACACTCCGATCAGAAATGGTAATAGTGGCTGTGCACATGGGCGGCTATTCTTGCATCAACGTTAGTAGAATAGAACAAAACACATCGAAAACAGCATACATTCTGACAATTCTGCTTCTTCATTCTCTTTGTGTCTATAACCATTTGATTCTTTACTTTACCACCTTCTTTCCCGAGACGTCCTACAGATCCTCCTTGGCGATCACCCTCACACGCTCATACCACCCCCTAAACGCCTCCCCCTCTTTCCCGGTGTACATCTCCAGCGTCTGCTCCACCAGTCCAGGGTCGACCTTGACCATCCACAGCAGGAGGGAGAGGACGAGTATATCCGCGTAGCTCACTATCCTAGTTAGCCGGGTGCATGCAGATGGAAAAAGCAGGGGGACGCGGGACGCACGTTGATGTCCAAAGATATACTTTCCAGTACTCGTAATCTGCTTAACGACAACATCTAACTCCTTCTTCCAATCCAGCACGCTCCTGCCCCTGCCCATCTCCTCCAGGCTCATCCCAAACCTCGCCCTGCGCGTACGGACAAAGTACTCTTTCCCCCTCACGTCCAGGATCTCCGCTGAGAGGGGAAGCAATTTGGGCCGCGCAGAGGCCCAGAGGAGCTGGGTGTAGAACGTTAGGAAGAAATGGTTTGTTTCGAGGTTTGGGTAGAGGAGGGAGGGAGTGGAGGGGAAGGTTTTTTCGAGGTATTCTAAGCGGGGTTAGGGGCTGGATATGGGGGATTGGGGATTGAGGTGGGGGAGGGGGAGGGACGAACGGATGATGGACCAGGAATCGTACACCCACACATCCCCGTGCTGGATCGTAGGCAGGGTAGGCGCCTCCTCGCCCTGCTGACAATGTTGTCCAATAGTGGGTTTGATATCGGGATACGTGAGCCTGCGCAGCCGCGTGAGGTGGTGCAGGACAGTCAATCCGGGGAGACGGGACACACCAGACAGTCTCGAAAGGGATCCCTTTGTACCGCAGGGCAAGCCTGACTTTCCACAAGTTGGGGGACCAGCACTTTGTCTCCGCGCTCCGGAGGTCGTAGAGGATGAGTTTCTTGTCTTCCATGCTTGGTGTCGGTTGGAGGAAGAGGAAGATGAGCAGGGGGTGGGGGATGTGTGGGCTCAAAGGCAAGGGAAGGGTTATGTACTTGGTTGTCGACCGATGATGGATGACTGAGCTTTGAGAAGGACTCTGAATACAGGCAATGTCGGTCGAATGAACCCGGGTGTGTCGGAGTTGTCCAGGCTTTGGGCAGGGAGAAATTGCCCTTTTACTTCCGCCCAAACTTCCTGTTAAGTAGTTTAACCGGTTCACGTGCCTGCTGCCTGTCTGTGGATTGCCTGGTCACGTCCCGCCCCTTGTCTCTGTATATGTTTCTTCTTTTCCACATCCCGCCATTCCATTTCTTAATAACATCAGATTGTGATGAATTGGGTATGTTTTCTTGCGCAGGGGCAAGTTATCATGCAGGCTTGTGTCGACAGCGCAGGGAAATGCATTACACAGATGAATGGAGCCGACCTCCCCACCCTTGCTTTCAACTCCTCTTACTGATTTCTCGCTGTATGTCAAACCCATCCTGTTGGCCCTGCGCAGTTGGGGGTTCTCTACATTATATAACATCACTCTACGCTATGTTGCAGCTGTACAAGTACTTCAGTGTAGCAGATTTGCACTTAATAGCATGGCTCGTCTCCTTTCAAGTTGCCTCCCGACTCCCTTGAAATAAACTGACACTCGCTTTGCTTAATTGTCTCTGCATTTCCACGTATGCTGCACGTAGGGTTGCCCAGGGGGTGCGCGGAGCGGATTACAATTTGGGAAACTGGATGATGTCATCCATTGTTGACACTATTAATGATCATTTCATTAATATTATTTGCACACTCAGTGGGGGATATCGCTGTTACAGAGAGTAATTAGCTAGGAGTGGACATGCTATTCCTGTTATCCTACTGTACCTGGACAATATCCTCAACGTATCCACGTGCAAAAGGGCAGCATGTCCGCCTCGAGCTCGATGTACGCGTCTCACTGCACAGAATACTACAACACGCACTCACGCTCACATTCACAGCCAAACGATGACCAGCCTCCAATCCTCTCTCCGAGCACGTCAACTCGCCCGGCAAAAAGCGCACCGACGCGCCTCCCTCTCCCTTTTCGGAGAAGCAGCCATTCCGCTCGCTTCCGAAGAAACACCGCCACCGTCTTACAAGAGCGGGAAAGACGGAACGGTCCTCTCCGACATGTACAGGTCGTGCTCATCGTCTAATCCCTCTTTGCCGTCGTCTCCCTCGTCGTCCTCCCTCCCGCCAGGAGCGACCGCGCCCTCCCCACTCTGTCCTATATCCCCCACTCTTGATACCCACTCACTAGTACTGATGGCCGACGTCGAACTCTCCCATTCTGCGCAGTCTGTGCCAGACCCCGCGCCCGTAGCGGAAGACGCAGAAGCTGAAGAGGCAGACCTTCCCCCGCAGGACGCCGAGCTCTCAGCGTTCCTCGCCTGGCTCTCCCTCCTCTCCCTCTCCCCGCCCAACACGCCCTCTCCAACCCTCACATCCCTCACAGACGGCACTCTCCTCCTCTCCCTCCTCTCCCGCGCTTCCACCACCCACTTCCCCCTCCCGGCACGCCAACTCTCCCCCTCCGACCCCTGGCCCCTCAGGCTCACGCAGCTCAAAGCGCTCTACAGGCGCGTAGCACAGTGGTATGCTGAGCGCTCTGATACTCTCCTTGGCCTTGGGGAAAAAGACGGGTCAGGAGAGGAATGGGTACCTTCTCTCCAGCTGTTGGTGGACACTTCTTCCCCCTCCCCTTCCCTCGCGGAGAGGGAAAGAGAAGTCCTCAAACTCCTCCGACTCGTTGTGGGCGTCGCTGTGCAGGGAGAGGAGAAGGAGGAAGCGGTGGGTGCGATTAGGGAGCTGAGGACGGACCAGCAGACGCTTATGATGCGCGCTATTGAACGTGTTATGGCTGCTTTCCCGCCCAGAGCGGAGGGCGCGGCAGAGGACGCGGATACGAGTATGATGACTGAGTGAGATGCTCTTCTTGGTTCTTGTGCAGGGCTGACGCGGTTTGGGACAGTGACGACCATTATTACTCGTTGCAGTCTGCGCGCTCCCGTTTACAGTCGGAGAACACCCAGCTTCACTCTGCCCTCCAGGCGCTCCAGGTGCAAGTGGATCAGCTCCAGACGCAAGCGTCGGACCTCCAGGCGGAGAAAGACGACGCGCTCCAGACTGCGAGAGAGCTGCGCGCGCAAGCGGAGGAGCGAAGAGGGAGAGAGGTAGAAGCCGGCCTCAGGGGGGAGATTGAGCGCCTCAAGGATACACTGTGCGCTTACTCCTTTCCCTAGATGCGGACGGTGTTGCTGATCGGTTCTCTTCTCCGCAGGCGCACGTCGGAGGATACGATCTCTTCCCTCGAAGGGCAGGTGCAGCGCCAGGAACGCGATTTGTCGGATATATCCCGGCGCGCGCTGGAGTTGCAGGAGAAGGCTGACTCGGCGGGAAGACTTAAGGACCAGGTGGACGAGCTCCGGCATGCGGCTGAGCGCGCGCAGAAGAACGAGAACGTTATCGAGAAGTATAAACGGAAGCTGGAGGAGACGGCCGATCTGAGGCGGCAGGTCAAGGTGCGTTTGTTTCCAACCTATGCTACTTCCGCGGTAGATGACGTGCTAATGCGCTTGTAGACGCTTACGGAACAGAATACCCAGCTGGTGAATACCAACTCTCAGCTAGAAGCTCAGTCCTCCAAATCGGCAAACGTCAAGCCTCTCCTAGACGCGTACAAACAGCAGATAAGCGAGCTCGAGTCCAAGGCTTCTGCCCGTGCTGCGGAAGTTGAAGGCCTCAGGGTCAAGTTGGAGGAAGAGAGGCGGGCTAGGGTGGAGCTGGACAGGCTTAGGGAGCAGGAGAGGCGCGAGGCGGAGGGATATGCTGAGAGGGTTAGGGAGCTGGAGAGTGGGATGAGGGTCAAGCTGCGCGAAGGGTGGGGAGGGGAGGAACCTCTTAGTCCTGGATTGGGACTGGGAGAGGCGCATGAGACGGAGGGAGAGGCGTTGACCCTTGATGACGCCTTGAGCGGGACGACGATGACTGATCTCAAGCTGCGTATCCGGGCTCTTGAGCGTGAGCTCCTGGACGCCCAGCAGGAGAATGGGACTGCTTCCCGTGTACTGGTGCTCGAGAACTTGCTCGAGGACGCCAATCGGCTCAAGGCGAGGTACGAGAAGGAGTACCTGGCTGCGCACAGGGAGGCCCTGGTGCTCCGCCGCGAGGTGGAGGAGATCCGCGCGGGTAAGGGAGGCGCAGAGAGCGGGGAGATGGTCATCGCCGTCCGGAAGAGGCTGAACGAGCTTGTGGAAGAACTGGACGGGACGAAGAAGAGCTTGGAAGAGAAGGGTGTGGAGCTGGATTCTGTCCTGCGGGAACTGACGGTCGCCAAGTCGGATTGTATGTCTTTCTTTGTGCTCCTCGTGTGGGATAGTGCTGATGGCAAGACAGTGAATTTGGTAAACAAGGACCAGCTGGAGATACTCGCTTCCCTCCGCGCATCTGTCTCGTCTGACAACGCCGGTCTTTCTGCGGAGCTGGACAGGCTCAAGCAGGTAGAACGCGAGCTGAGAGAGAAGAACCGGATGCAGATGGAGCAGGTCAACGGCTTGCTCATGGAGAAGATCGAGTTGCAGGGAGAAGGTATCGGGCAGCGGGAAGCGATGCTCAAGCGGGAAAGGGATATCGGGTGCGTGTGCCTTCGTTGGGTGAGGAGGAAACTGAGAGATGTAGGGACCTGCGCGCGTCTATTGCCGGCAAGGACCTGCCTGAAGAGACTAAGAGGCGGCTCATCGATTTGGCGGACGAGAATGCCAGGCTGAAGGAAGAGATCAAGCTCGAGAGACAGAAGCTTGTCAAGGCTCGCCAGGTGAGGCGGGGGTGGATTTGCCCGCTTGGGGAATGCTGATTTTGCGACAGTTTATCAAGGACCAGGATGAACTGTTCAGCAAGCAGCATGCGGGCAAGGTCGATCCTGTATGTTGTGTTCTTCATGCTTGGCCGCGCGCTTATACAGGATAGGGCACGTTTACCGAAGCTGAGAAGGCGTACAAGTCGCAGATCGGCACGCTCGAGGATAAGATCGCGCTTCTCACGGTCAGTCCTTTTTCTGCAACATGCGTGCATGTTGACTAACGCCGCCTTAGCGGACGATCAAGGAGAACGCCGCTGCGTACGATCGGGAAAAACAACAGCTGCAGAGCTCGTTCCGCGTCCTAGGATCACAGCAGCGTCAGACCCAACTTCGCACTGCAGCCTCTCGTACCGGAACACGCCTGCAGCCGCAGAGCTGGCTAGCCCAACAGCGGGAACACGTAGGTCTCTCTCTCTGGTCATCCTAATGACTGGTACTGGGTGCGAGGCTAATGTTGTAGACAGATGATGGCCAACCTCTCCCGCTGAGAGTGGAGAGGCTGGTCATACCCCGCCCGCTCCGTATGGGCTGGAACTTGACGACCCACTCTATGCCCGCGAGGAATGTGGGAAGGGCGATCGAGTATCTTGCCTATACGTACACGAGGCACTTGTTATAGGTTTATGATTGTAACGTATTACGAAGTTATGAATACACGATTAATAGCTCTAATCTCTTGTCCGTTTGAGATTCGCGTGTTACATTCATTCCGAGCAGAAGATGAGATATTGAACCCAACCCTGCTTTCAAAGTAAGAAAGAGTTATCGAGCACCGTGGTGTCGTCCCACCGTTGCCGAGCGTGCCGGAAGCCCACGTGACTTTTTCCCGGAAGCAAAAATCTTCTCTTCCTCCCGCTTTCCCACACTTTCGAGCATTGTTTGCTCTCTTGCACATCGATGTTGATGTGCTCTGCTTTCGTCTAAACCTCTGGCCTGTCTGTGCTGCCCATCCTGGGTGATGCAGGGCTGACTGTCAACCCTTCAAGACACTGGAGCTCCCCCCCTGGCACGGACCTCCCCTCTGGATGGATCAAGCCTTACCCCGCAAGACTGTTGCACTCCACTGCACCTCTGTCTCCTCCCCCTCAGTGCAGATCTGAGATACAGTTGCTCGAGGAAGACTTCAAGGGGAAGGATGAGTTTACTACGTGGCAGGACGAAAGCAATGAGGTGTGCTATGTGCTGAGCTGGCTATGGGCCAAGTAGGCACGATGGGACTTATGTCCACAATCTGGGTGAAGACTGTATTTGCCGGGCTGGTTGGGGTCGTCAGACAATGTCAACTAGTGAGGATCATATTCATGTAGTTGAAGCCATCCATAACTCACTGTTCTGGTAAATGATATAAGTGCCAAGTCGGTGTTGCATGCGAGGACTTCAGGACTACATATACTTACATGGAGTTGGCCATACAGGTTAGGGCTGAATCGCAGGGTTAGGGCTATCTCGCAGGGTTGCAGTGTGTGTGAGCAAGTTGGACACTTTCATTCATAACAGACTGTCAAACAAGTATTGCTCGGCAAAACTCTTGCAGTACCTCTAACATCTGTCATCACTGTCACAAAGCTCAGACCCAGATTGAAGTGTCGCCATCATCCGGGTGTTTTGTGAGGGGGTGAGAGACGAAAAGAGCAACTCAACACGATGCATGACAAGCACCCCTTTGTTCGTTCCTTGCTTTCAAACAAGGACTCATGGTCTTCCCCTTGTATACATTATCATTTGCACAGCCCTCCCAGGCTGATGATGCCTCATGTTACGGCTCTGAACACACATCGGTCATTCCCACCATCTCATTCAATCTCATTCAACCACACAATCCGTACCTACCCCTCATGGAGAGGAACAATTCGATACTTCTTGTAGTCTAATGTCGACAAGGCGTAGTTCATGACAATAATATATTAATGCCCTGATGGCGATCAACGTTGCTTTTCAACAGGCGGTGCATCACTCCAGGGAGGCGAAGAATGAAACGAAGCGCGCACGTTGCCGGTACATAGGCATACGGAGAGATAGCAGACTTCAGTGCGTCTTTGTCTTGCACACCCTTCAGCGAGCGAGCTGACGATGACAAGAGGCGAAAAGTCGCGTTCCCCGCTTACGCCGCCGGAGTTGCAACAACAAGGATGGTCCTCCCTCTCCACGTCTGAGGAGAACGGCCCATCAAGGCTTGAAGAAACGAGGCCCTGGGAACACCCAGCTGTTCAGAGGCGATTCGTGGATGACATGCCTAAGGAGCTGGGGAATGGACCCGAGGCTCCGGTGTGGAAGCTGTATCTGAAGAAGGCGGAGGTGTGTGATAGGGAGATGGTCGAACAATGGGATAAGGGGATGGATGTACTGCTTATTTTCGTGCGTTTACCTGCTCAAGAAGCATACACATACATGCTGAGGACACCTAATGGGCCAGTCGGCTTTGTTTTCCGCTGTGCTCGCAGCGTTTCTAGTCTTCTCCCTTCCCTATCTCGCCCCCGACAACCCAGCAAACCAGCTCGACGCCCTGGCGACCATCTCTGCCCAACTGCGGGCCATGTCGGCCGGAAGCACAGGTTCTGCACCAGAACCGTTCGCAGTTCCGGATCCGCAGGAAGCAAGCAACAGCATTCTGTGGATGAACGGTCTCTGGCTCACATCGCTCGTTGTCGCCCTGTACACAGCTGTGCTCGCCATGCTCGTCAAGGAGTGGATAAGGGCGTACGACGCACATTGCTCTGCCTCTGCGGAGCCGCACATCCAGGCCAGGCAGCGGCACTTCCGCCACCTGGGATTCGTCGCTTGGAAAGTGCAAGACGTAGCCGAGTCCCTTCCTCTCTATCTGCACGTCGCCGTCCTCTGCTTCCTCGCAGGGCTGACGGTCTACCTCTGGGAGCTACACACAACTCTCGCAATTCTCATGACCGTACTCACTGCTGGCGGTTACAGCGGGTACTTCATACTCGGCATCGCGCCTCTTATCTTCCCTACATGCCCGTACAACAGTGGATTCACTCGCGCCTTCGAGTCCCCGCTCTCGCTGCTGACTCTCAGCCCCCAACTCCGCACCGTCACCCATTCCCTCTGGGGTGGGCGAAAGGATACTCTGCGCGCGGTGATCGAGTGGCGCGTATTTGGAGAACTCCTCGGGCCCAGGCATGGTTGGCTTGACCGGCGCGCCGCACAGTGGATGGCGAGGAACGAATCCAAGCTTGATACGAGTGCTTTCGGCTGGTTGGAACGCGCGTGCGGCAGCCAGGAAGAGAAAGAAACTGTCCTCCAAGCCTTCTGGGGCTGGGCGCCTTGTGCACCCCTATGGCATATGATACGCGAGTCACTCGAAGCCGTCGCAGCAGCTGGGATCGCCCGAGTCTCCTGGTCAGGAGAACGCGAGTGGTCCCAAGTAGAAGAGACAGCGAAGAAGCTCGCGGTGTTTAGCACGTTCGCACCGGAGAAGTATCTCACTTCACATCCGCCGGCATGGCATGAGCGTCTCTGGGAGGGAGTGGAGGGGATGGACTTTGTCGATGAGGCAGAGCGGCAGAGAGCCATGGCCCTTCGGGTCTGGTGTGCTGGGGAGAACAGGGTGGGGGTGGAGGCCAAGAGATGGGACGAGTTTCATGCTGTTGCTGTAGAAGAATTGGCGGATGCGATGGGACGACCAGCGAAGCACTTCGGCCGTGCAGGTGAGAAGAAGATGGGAAAGAAAGGACTGTATGGTGAGGAGATAAGTGTGTTCGGTACTTGGCTCATGGGTGAGGATGCCCGGATGCTCCTTTCAACCCATGGACGGCCTGCCGCCCAAGCACGGATCACAAGTACCCTCCTGCCAGCGATGGATGACCTCCTCGCTAGCAGCGCAACCGTTCCCCTTGCTCTCGCGGGGCTGATGCCTGCTCTATGGGCAGCGGAGAACACGCAAGGGCGACATGGATCTCATTTACCCGGCCGACTCGCCCAAGTGCCGCAGGTCATGGCCTCTTTCCCCGCTCGGGAGCCTCTTTTCCTCACTCTCCCTCCTGGGCCAGACGCCCACCGTACCTTGGAACAAGAACTCACCGCCCGCTCGTACGTGTTACACAACCTCGACGTAGACCATGCGCTCCCTGTGCTGGACCTTATCGTATCCCGGTTTGCGGGTGAGGCGCTCGTCTATCCTGAAAGGCAGGCGCCGTTACCTACCTTGAGCGCCTTACCCCTCGTTAGGCAGGTGGACCTCAATATCGCAGAAACATGCGTGGCTGCACTGCTCAGGCATCACAGTACCTGGCGTCAAGTGCGGTTCGCGCACTTGCAGCTGATCGCTCTCACGGGCGGTCAAGTTGGGATGAGTGCTGAGGAATCAACACAGGCGCAAGAACGGCTACTGGTGCATTCTCCCGGTTCTCATGTGCATGGAGCACATGCCGGCATCTCCCAAGAAGGACTGCGTTTTGCATGCACCAACGCCATCCACAGTGATGAGTTTCTCAGGTTGATAGACTGCGCCCGACGATTCGCCGATGCGGAAGCAGCGAGCTTTGCCTCCCTTCTGCTGTATAACGGTTACACGGCGCAACCGCGCGAGCGCCGTGCCGCAGACCCGATCCTGCGCTCGGGCTGGCTCGACTTGCTCAGTGAATATGGCTTCCGGAACCTTGTCCGAAACGACCCCCAGCTAGCTGGTGCGGTTGGGGAAGTGTTAGTGCGGTTTTCAGCAAGATACTTCGAGTACCTGGAGAGAAGCGGCTTGCTTGACATTATCGCTGCTGATGGATGGCAATTTGATGGCGTCCAGGATTTACTTGCACGCAGTAGCAGGACGCGCCAGGATGAGAGGGAACCGGACGAGAGTGAGAGGGCGAAGGAGCTCGAGGAGGGACTGGGGAGAACGCGGAGTTCCTCCAATGGTGGGGCTGAGGGTGCTGTCCTGGCTGATCTGCTCTGAAACGACACGAAATGATGTGAGATACATGAGGTCAGAGGACAGGTTGGAGTTCCATTGATTATATCCAAGACTGTTGTTTTCATACACAATCTCATTGCTTTGCTTTTGAGTCCCATCATGCGGAAGGAGCACGTGTCATCCATGTGAATATCCTGAACATGTGCCACAGAAACATGTTTGAACCCCCGAGGTTATGTGCGTGTTAACATGGGACACCATCAAGACAACGAAAGGGTTGACAGGTTTTATTCAGTGTCGCCTGCTACGTGTTTATATCTCTCAACTGTATACCCAAACTGTCTACGAGTGCCCGCGGATCGTCTTGACCTCGTACGGCTCCTCGAGGTACTTGTAGTCCTCCGGAGAGAGTGTCTTGTCCGGAATGATAGCTTCCTCGAGCCTCTGCGGGCTGGAGAAGCCAACAATCGGGCTCGTACACTTGCCATCAATCCACGCCAACGCGACCTGGGCCATCGTCCAGCCCTTCTTATTCGCCAGCGCCTCGACGCGCTTGATCGTCTCCTCGTCCGCGGCAGAAAGAGTCCTCAGCGCGGCGCTCGCTACGGCGCGTGCGGTGTCCTTCTGGTCCGAGAGCGGACGAGCCAGCTGGCCAGCAGCAACAGGGCCCCAAGGGATAAGGCCAATGCCGGCGTACTCGCAGTACTTGTTCACCTCCCTCTCTTCCTCGCGGTACATGAGCGAGTAATGGTTCTGCATGCTAACGAACTTGGTCCATCCGTTCTTCTCCGCGACGTGGTTGTATTCTGCCAGCTGCCAGGCGAACATCGACGACGCACCGATGTAGCGCACCTTGCCCGAGCGCACGAGGTCATTAAGCGCGCACATCGTCTCCTCAAACGGTGTGTTAGGGTCGTAACGATGGATCTGCAGAAGGTCGATGTAGGTCGTCTCGAGCCGCGCAAGCGAGTTCTCCACGGCATTGAAGATAGCTCCGCGGGAGAGCCCGGACTGGTTGACGTAGTCACGCGTGTTCTTCAAGTCCGGGTTGTCGTTTGCCCGGATATCAAGCGTGTCAGGTACAAGCCCGAAGCATTTTGTGAGAATGACAAGCTTGGAGCGAGGGATGTTGTACTGCACATATCCTCAGCGGGGCTCGATAACGGCGTACAGTGAAACACACCTTCTTGATAGCCTTCGCGATGATCTTCTCGGATACACCAGCCGAGTAGACCTATATTTCGCATCAGGGGTCGCAGGTCATAGACATTGTACCAGCGAACGCACGTTAGCGGTATCCCAGGTAGTGACACCCCTGTCCCATGCATACTTGAGCAGAGGGAGAGCCTCCTCCTCCTCGATCACCCAGTCCTATGCATGGTCAGCATATCTCCGACCTATTCAGTATGACCGACGCACCATCTGCTTCAGCGAGCCGAAGCTCATCGCACCCAGGATGGGAACAGAAACCCGCAAGCCTGACTTGCCAAGACGGCGATACTCCACCTGAGGAAGGTTCTTCTGATCGGCCATTGTTTCGCTTGTAGTGCAAGGTGAGGTGTACGATGTAGGAATACGAAGCAGAGAGGGACGATGGGTTGCCGCATGCTGGATGACGCTATTTGAGGCATTGGGGCAGCCGGTGGAGGTCGTCGTCCCGTGCCCATGCCCGGTCGACAACGACAGGGTACATGTGGATCAAAAGGCTTCCCAGCTGAGTGACCCCCCCACTGTATAGCAGCCCTATACATTGCTATCACTTGTCGAAGACGTCCCAGAATGGCGCAACCTTATCCCATTTAGTCCCCGTGGTACATCTACCGGCCCGATTCCCCACATCATTCCACTTGGAGCCGAGCTTTCCCCGCTGATGACTCGTGTCATTCCAAAATACCTGTCTCTTGCTCTGTCGCAGACTGCTGACTCAGCATGGGGCGTTAGGTTCGGTTAGTGGGGACACTGGTGAGCTGGCAATTCCCCACAGGACCAGAATTAGAGCCTCCACCTAATCACGAAGGACTGGGAATCTCCCGCTTCTGACGGGCGTGTTTCTGTCACTGATGCGTAGCTCCAAGAGTTCCACCAAGGTCGAGGGAGACTATCCAATTTGTATCCTTATTCTCACAGAGGCTTGTGTCGATGTATCCATGTATATACAAAAAATGTCGTAACAATCGCCATATGTGCGAACATGCAAGAAGCTTACCGTTGCCAGCGGTGTACCCTGGCGATTTTGGGAAAAACTGCCCAGGTCCATTCTCAATCGTATCCAAATGCGTTCAGACATCATCCAAGACATTCTCGTCCACGCATTGTCCATCCGTCAAAACATGATCCAAGAAATCCACGTCGTGTCTCACGCATCCGCCGGCGGAAGGACCAACCCCTTTCCGTTCGGGTTAGGGTCGTAACTCCCCTTCATCGGTCGATAGAACGGTATCCCTCCCGGTTCATTATGATCCAGCAGCCTGACCTGAAGTTCCTTTCCGTCCTTCACCGTCGTAAACTCGTATCGCGGTGCATAGGTCTCCTCGACACTGAGGATTTCCAGCACGCAGCTCCCCAGCCCAGGGCCGCCATTCCGGATACCGACTTTGGCTTTGACGGTCTTGGGTAGCGGCTGAGGGGTATTAATCCAGTACTGCATGCCGACATTTTTCTCCAGTTCACGACGGAGGATCTCTAATCGGCGTACTTTGTTCTCGCGCTCGCCCGAGTAGCGTTCAAAGTTGGGCGCGAAGCAGGCAGTGTCCGTGCGCTTCCCATGTCGTTGCAAGCTGTCGTATCGCGTAAAGGTCTTTCCGCAGGTGGGGCAGGTCGGGAGCTCGACATGGAACCCGCCAAAGACAAGGCCTCCCCCAGGGGGGATCTCGTCGAGTTCTGAGACGAGGCACTCATAGTACAAGTGTGCAACACGATGTCGGATGAGATCGTATGTCTTTGTCGTGTAGATCCCGCAGGTCATCGTCGGGTCACCAGCTTTCATGAACCCGCACATGACGATGCGGGCGATATTTCCACCGATGGGTTGGATCTTCAGTCCCTGGTGCGTTTGCGCGAGCAATGCCCTGCGCATGGCAAAGGACGCATTCTCCTTAGCGAGCCGGCGCTCGGTGAGGGGGATATCAGCAAACCGGATGTTGAATGAGCGCGACTGATAGCGACCTTCTTTCTCCCGGAAGGGGTTCGGTTCAGTTTTGATATAAGCCCTTCGCCTTGACACACGTCGCGAGTCGGGCAGGTAGTCGTCAGAGTCCAAGTCATCGTTGTCGTCATCCATATTGTCAGAATCCAGAGTTAAGCGTTCAGGGGTGATGGATTGCGCAGGCAGCATCCAGCGCAGCTCGAAGTTGGACGGATCAGAAGCAGGCACAGACGGGTCAGACTCCTCGTCCACGTTGCGAAACCGCGTGGTCCCGCGCGTTTCGAGCCCACGTGTTGATTTCGTGTTCCCCTTGCTGCTATTCGAGCGGGGCCGCATGTTTGACGGGTACTTGTGGAGCAGACTGCGCCATTGTTGTGCCTCTCGTACTGAGTGTAGAGGATATTCCTCGCTCTTGGTCGTGTACATCGGTTGGATGATATAAGTGACTTCAGATCGGTTAGGTATCTCGACTTTGGGATCATGCGTTTGGATTCGAGAAATGATGTCTGAAGCCAAATCAGACAGAGAATGTTTCGTAGTGGCACGGAAGACAGGCGCCTCGCTCCAGTCGCATGCTGTGAGTCATCAAAGCGTCATAATCGAGTCATCGGGAGGTTAATCGAGGCTCACAGCGACGCGGACCGGGGCTGGAAGACGAGCCCTCATCCGTGGTTTCGATATCGGTGTCCATCGCAGGCACAGGTGTGTCCGATTGCCATAAATCCATTTGACAGCAAAAGGCCACAAACGACGCGTCAGCCGTGATAAACGGGATTTGCGGCGCTAATGAGTTGACAAATCAAGAACACAGCCCAACAGCACCGTCTCCCACCCAAGGCATAAGAGAGAGAGATGTACAGGAATCCAAAAGGGCGTGTGGTGAATGAGGAGAGACAAGGTGTATAACGTGATGCGGACGAAGGAGGACAAGAGAACAAAAGAATGCGGCCCGCCAGGACGCCTGCGGCGATTTTGTAGCGCAATCCTAAGTGGGGAGCATAGCCGCGGAACGATTGGGACGATCCGCGGGGACAGATGAGAAGAAAGAAGCCAGAAGGCAGGCGTTCTTGACAATTCTGGGATAGGCTTCTGATAAAGAAGCTAGGGGCGGGTGCGCGTGAATGCAGAAGCTGAGTATCGCGCTAGTTGAACGGGACAATGGGACAACGGCGATATATAAGTATAGTCCCAACAAAATAGCAAAGATCGCACGAGTGTGATAGTGCTACCACACTGCATGGGTCATCTCGCACACTGATGCGCCTGATATCCTGCACCCTGACGGGCCGGAATCGTTGCCATCTGCACGGCCACCGCCGGGAAGATGTGAGAGGAGGCTTCTTTGCAAATTGACACACTCACTAGGAACATGAGACCGTGTGACTACGGACCTTGGCCGAGGAATGGCATGACCGGCATGTTCTCATTCTCGTCTTCTCCGAACAGTTTGGAAAACAGTATTCGCCGACTGATGAGCAAAAAATGCGGAGGTTGAAGCTTGAAATCCTGGCGTGGTTTCTTCGTCGAGAAAACGCTGGATGGGCGTGCTCGTAACGTCAAGAAGCGCATATCCGGGTCAGAATGTGTCTGTGGAGTGACGGATATTGTCCAGATATATAGCTTCAATTCTCGACGAGAAGGTAGGCGGACAGGCCGAAAAGCCGAGCGGCTTGCACAAGATGAGACTAAGAGCTCAGGCCAGAAGTCTCTTACTGACCGGGTGTCATCTTCTGATAGTTCTGACAGTGTTCGAAGTGAGGATGCTGTGAGCTTGAATACAAGCCAGTCGTCTTCTCGAGCGACAAGATCTAGTATGAGATCACCTCTTGTGAGCCGAAGAGCGCGCTTCTCGCTAGTATCCAAGACTAGCACCCTCGGATGGTTAAGGTACATCATCAAAAGCCGACTTCCAATCAGCCAATCGCGGGACAGCACTTCTTCAATGTAGTATCGCCAAGATCGACAGACATGACGACATCTCCAGGCAAACATCGGCGGCAGATGCTGGAGGACCAGTTCGCATAGTTCTACAGGCAGTTTATCCATAGAGTCCGTTCGAGACACTGCTCCATTCTCCACTGGTATGGATTTCGCGCTAGATCGAATGACGGTTTTGAACCACAACTGCAGCGCAACGTGAGCTCATTCGGTAATCGACTGCCGGCTGCGAGCAACAGGCTCACCTTGAACGCAGGTAGTTTGAATGCAGGCGCCATGAGTGGGGTGAGATCCGACTTGGTAAGCTTGTTGCAAGGCAAACTTAGTGCAAATGTACTTATGAAGAAACCGGGGAGATGCACTGCCTGAAGGAACCGACAGGGACGGGTCAGGATTGTACGGACGGCGGGAGAGGACAGCTTCATTTCGCATAGGGTCTCACAAGGGTCTCATGAGGGTCTGACTCCCCTAAATACTCAGACCCATTGTATGCAGGGTAATTAAATTTAGGTTCAAGCTCCGCTTTAACACTGCACATTATCTTCCATGGCCTTGTCCCTTAGCATGCATCATTGTCTATAAGTTGCACATTCCTCTGTCTACTGCCATCAACTCCACTCTCTCTTTCTTTCTCCTGTTCCTCATATTTTCATGGCAAACCAAAGGAAAACCACACCTTGGCAGTGCACACCTTATTGGTGTTGGATCTCTACTCTCCCTGGTAGCAACAGCCCCCCAGCAGAACTCCCTGACCCTGAACCCAGTGTCACTCACCATCCTTCAACACCCCCACAAGACACATGTCCCTCCTCTCTGACAGAGATTCTCCGATACCTGGAAACTCCTTCACCTCCTCCAACACACAAGCAATCACGTCAAAGTTATCATAGGGAAGAGCTGGCAATGATCAGAGTGAATTTCCTTCTGCAAGACACTGCTGAAGGATTACACACCATTCCTGACCTCCCTGTCATCTCCCCTCCTCCCATTGCTGTCCTTCAAGACCCCTCTCCTGACCCAACACAATTGCAGTCCCTTTCCCATCAAAATAGTCAGTTCAATCAGCTTCAATCAACCCAAGATGAAACAGACCAGACTATCTTACCTCCCTCCACCCCACATTGAAGCAGGCCCCCCAAGCACTCAGAGGAAGGGCTCTCTGATCACATGGTGCTTGCACATAAGCATGCGTCTGTCCTGGCTATCTTGAAGACCCTCCATACTTCCAGCAAAGAAGCTTCTTCTGGCACTCAGAACCAGGTTTTCTATTCATTCAATCCCAAGGTGCTTGAGGCCATCGAAACTCTTGTCAAAGCTGAAGAGGAGCTCACCAACCATATTCAAGATGTTCTTGATGCTCTTCCATCTTTCTTATCCACTCATGTAAGCATTTCCACAACACAATCCTCATTCCATAGTGCTGAACCTTCATTCACAGGAGTTTTTCAAACAGTGGTATTCACATACCCTGAAATCTGACCATGGCTGTCTCGACCTCTTCATTCACTACATTGGCCACATATACACTGAGGCTTTCCCTAATGTATTCCTGACCTCTCCTTCAACTTATCACTGCAACTTCCCTCCTCTGAGCCAAGTCAAAGAAGATGAATTCACCCACCTAATCTCAACATGGCATGTCTCTTATCATACATGCATCCTTGACTCCAAGGAAGCTGACCTCATCAATGACCTTGAATGCTGTCTTCCCATTCCCATTATCCACCCACTCAACATAGTTGATGCAGTACATGGTGTAAATGACTGGTGCAAGTGGATGGTATGTCTTCCCAATTCCACCAATTTTTCTTCTGCTCTTCATTACAGTCTATCTACTTTCACTTGATTCACCAGGGGAAAATACCCACATGGCTACAAATGCATGGGCCCCTTACTTACAATCTCATCAATATATGGACCTGGAAGCTTGAATTTTCTTTGCACATCAACATCAAGTACCTCAAGGAAGTCAACGAGTCATTCAGTCCAGACTGGACTCTGACTGAAGTACTGTGCCAATGTGAATCTGGCAGCCTTGGTACCATAGCTGAAAGGTACCAAGACAATGTATACTCCACTAAATACATAGGCATGCTCTGTGAGTTTGCACCCTTTTCCCCCAAACCTGACCACCATCCTCATCAGTTCACAAACTGGATGTGAGGGCAACATGATCCAACAATTGTTGATGATCAAATAACCAAACAGGCAACAAGCAAAGTGGAGAGTAGTGAGTCATATGTCAATCAATACCTCCATGTTTGTTCACAAACGGAGTGATCAACAGGGGTGTTATAGAGTAAGTGGGGATTGGCAGCCAACAGGCATGATTGTGTGTGTATTGTGTGCATGTTTGGAATGATTAAAGCTTCATGTTTAGAACCTAATGACCTTGGACCATGGGGTTCCTAAGAGATTAGCTCTAAAGAGCTACAGGGGCTATACCTAGGGTTCTATACATGTCTAGGTATGGAAGTAAAAAAGGAAGCAAAGTCTGTGGCTGACTATACAGCTTGCTTAGGGCAGGCACCTTGTGTCTCTTGTCTGGTCAGTCCTGTATGATCTATGACCAACATCTCATGTTCTGGGGTCTGTCCTTCCTGGAGTCAGGTGATTGTAGTATCAGCTGTCATTTGGGGTGTCATGCCATATGACTGTGCTCTGATCATTGTCAATTGCAGCTGTTTGTAATTGATTTTAGCGACGTCCCCTGACACTGGATAGCCAAGATTCATGCCTATTTTGTTGGTCTTCTCATTGCACATTTTTCCCTAATTTATCTGATCTCTATTCTAGGTTGATCCTCTACTCCATCACCAGCTTTTCAATTCCCCCTTCACTCCCCTCTTCACCCTGCTCATGCGTGATGTCCTCAGACATGCTGCTACAGCCCATCTCCAATATGATCTCAAAGAATGGCCATTCACCTTGGAAGGCCTACCACACACCATTATTGAATCTGTGAGGGCAACACAATCCAACAATTGTTGATGATCAAATAACCAAACAGGCAATGAGCAAATCAGAGAGTAGTGAGTCATACATCAATCAATACCTCAACATTTGTTCACAAATGGAGTGATCGACAGGGGGTTTATAAAGTAAGGGGAGATTGGCAGCTGACAGGCACAATTGTGTGCATGTCATGTGCATGTTTGGAATGAGTAAAGCTTTGTGGTTAGAACCTAATGGCCTTGGACTGTGGGGGTTCCTAAGAGATTAGCTCTAAAGAGCTACAAGGGCTATACCTAGGGTTCTATATATGTCTAGGTATGGAAGTAAAAAGGAAGCAAATTCCATGGCTGACTATACAGCTTGCTTAGGGCAGGCACCTTATGTCTCTTGTCTGGTTGGTCCCACACAATCTATGACTGACATCTCATGTTCTGGGATCTGTCCTTCCTGGAGTCAGGTGATTATAGTATTGGCTGTCATTTGGGGTGTCATGCCATGTGACTGTGCTCTGATTGTTGTCAATTGCAGTGTGTCTGCACTTGATTTTAGGGACATCCCCTGACAGAATCCATCAAGGATTTCATGACAAACAGTTCTTTTGATGTGTGTCCATTCCTCATGGATGAAATGCTGGCAGATCTTGAATCTGCTGGCCAACCATCCTCCCAGGAAGAAATCTATGAAGGTATTATCTCGCTCTCCTGACATGTTGCTAGGCCTGATCCTGAGCAAGAACCTCTTGTTGATCTCTATCCTGAGAGTGCTGTGGTCCTCTCCACTTGACTTCAAATTGGCAATATCAATACCAACATTCTCCACTGCCCACCTCTGAGTGTAGACATCAACTTTATTCCCAACCTTGAAGTCTGCCAGTCTGCACATGTGGTTAGGGTCAAAGGCCTCTTCCCATTTCCTTTCTGGGTCCATTCTCCATCTTCTTTCCATGATACCTTACTCATGAATTACAGATCTATTTCAGACATGATATGTGCTATGAGTGTTGGCACTGATCTATGCCTTGTAGAAGGTTAGAACACTGCTGTTACAGATGTGAAGGCACTGCTTGCATAGAATGTCAAAAGAAAGGGTTGTCTCACCCATGCCTCAGACACAAGCATGGTTACAAGAACAGTAAGTATCTATTTCCCCACTCTCACAGTCTCAATAACATTGTCCTATAGTTTCTTTCCAAGATTGGCAGTGGCCCAGGGAGGACATTCCCAGTCACATTCAGGATCAATGGCTGGATGAGGCTCTGGACACAGCTTGGTATTCCTATCAGTTGTCTGATGACAAGGAACCTGAAGAGACAAGGCAGGACCTCTTTGACAACTTCTGGCTTGACATGCAAGCACTAGAGAAATCAGATCAAAAGGATGTGATGCACCCTGAGGACAGTCACCATGAAGACAGTCACAAAGAAGAGATATCAACTATTGATGCTGGGAGCAGGCAGGAAAAGCCAAAGCCAAAGCCAAAGCAAAATGCCAGGGGCAAGGCCAATGCCAAACAAGGGGACAGCAAAAGGCAACAGAAGGAGTAAATTAGTACCCCTTAATACTGTAGAATAATCCACTGCTACAATGATCACTATAGAAATGCACCATGCCTCTCTTCCAGCCAGCCTCCTCGTCCCCCCCNCCCTC